TAAGGTGTTTCCTTCACACAACCAGCATAACAGCAATGCTGCTTTCCCATAAGGAGGGGTGGGGTTAGAAAAGGTCGACCCTAAAAATGCACACCTCGCCTTATCCCACGAATATCCGTCTCCGGCGGTAAGGTCTCAACAAGTACGGAGCTAACACAAAAACTACTCACAAAAAGGTCGTGTGTGAGCGACCTCAAGCATTTGTCCCTTGGGCACTGCGGTCACGCTCTCAGGTCACTAAGACCACCCCTAATCCAATTTCCTTTTCAGGCACTTCCAGCAGAACCCTTCCACGGTGTGGGCAACCGAGAAGTGATAACCGCCCTCATACCTCTAACAGCACTCAAGACCACTGTATTCATAATCAACCTCCCTCTTCAATTCCTATTATTCCTTTTACGTCAACTTTCAACTCTAAACTTCCTCTTTCGGCTTCCTCCTCAAGTGTCACCACAGCAAACGATTCTTGTGCGCAAAACGCTGTCCCAGGTCTACTCAAACCTCGCTCCAAAGTACACATTGGAACCTTCAACGTACGCACACTATGCCAAATCGGTCAGCAAGCTTCTTTGGCTAAAACCCTAGAATCTCGTACCATTGATGTATGCTGTGTCTCTGAAACACGCATACAGGATCATAGTGTCGTCATTCACTTGACCTCACCTCGGCAAAACTGAGAGCCGACGAGATACACCCTCCGTGTAACTGGCGACCCGATGGCTAGTTCTCGTGGACTGGCAGGTGTAGGCATAGCACTAAGCATGAGGGCGGAACAAGCGCTATTAGAATGGATCCCCGTTAACAGTCGTCTATACGCTGTTCGGCTAAACGGCTCCGTAAGAACTCGAAAGGATAGGGACACACGTCGTTGCCTTTTCGTCGTTTCTGCCTACGCTTCCACTGACTGCAGCTCGGATGAAGTGAAAGATGAATTTTACAGAAAACTCTCTGAACTTCTTCAGAAAGCTAAACGCTCAGACATAGTACTCGTAGCAGGTGACTTTAATGTTCCGGTAGGCAGCTTAAATCAAACAGAAAGACATTTAGGTGGGTATTTTAGTATTCCGGCACAGCGAACAGATAATGGTGATCGTCTGCTGCAACTGTGCTCAGACAATCATTTATTTTTAGCAAACACAAATTTTAAGCATAAGGAGAGAACATCGTCTAACATGGCGACCCCCTGCACCAAACCAACGATGGACTCAAATAGACCATATTGTCATCAGTCATTGTTAGAGAGGGTCGATAGAATATTGCCGCTCATTCTGGAGTACCTGTTTGGACTCCGACCACGCACTAATACGAGCACACATCTGCTTGCGCCTCACTGGACGCAAAAAAAGCCACATTAAAAAGACCCATTAGGACTGAAAAGAGTAACGAGAAAAGCAAAAATAGGTTCCAAGAACAACTGAGGTCACACTTATGTAGTTCTGAAAACGAGGCTGACCCAGATGTTGCTTGGAAAGTTATACAATCAGCTGTGGAAACAGCAGTGACATCTACTAGTGATTTAGACCACAGGGTTACAAAGAACCAATGGATTTCTTCAAGGTCTATTGCACTGATAGACTCTCGTAAACTCATCCCATCAGGATCTGAACACGATGAGGAGCGAAAGCAAGTCAGATCTAGGTTAACCAAAAGTCTAAGGAATGATCGTGAGCAGTGGTGGGCAACGAAAGCAAAAGAGATGGAAAAGGCGGCGGCTATAGGGAACACAAGACAGCTCTTCAGACTCACAAAAGAAACTGGGACTAAAATATCAGCTGTAAGTGAGACTATCTCGGAAAAAGACGACGTTCTTATCTTCTCCCAGTCCAGAAGTTTAGAACGATGGGCGGAACACTTTAAGGAGCAGTTCAGTTGACCTTCAGCTACTCTACAACTACCCTCCATTCCCAGACAGTATGAATGGAACATTGAAGTAGGATATAGTTAATCTAAAACGAGGAAGGGCAGCTGGTCAAGATGGATTGGCTCCAGAGGTCTTTAAGGATGGTGGTCTAGTTTTAGAGATTAGGTTGACTAATATTTTAGCTAATGTCTGGGAGTTGGACACAATCCCCTCTTACTGGTCACAATCACTTAACGTCCCAATATATAAGAAAGGGTCAAAATCATCCTGTGACAACCATAGAGGGATTAGTTTAACTAATATAATATCTAAAATACTAGCCTCGATAATTTTCGGACGCCTAACTAAGACTCGTGAACTGTAAACACGAGAGAATCAAGCTGGCTTCAGACCTGGTCGTGGATGTATAGACCACATATTCACCGTTCGTCAGGTTCTAGAACACAGGCATACTGACGAAATCTCAGCACGGATTCGAAAAGCTCGTTTGGCCTTTGCCAACTTACGTCATCTATGGCGAAGGCGAGATATCCGTCTATCAATTAAGGGACGAGTATACTGCGCGGCAGTTCGTTCCGTTCTACTATACGGCTGTGAAACATGGCCTTTAAGAGTAGAAGATACTCGTAAGTTACTAGTATTTGACCACAGATGCCTTAGAAATATTGCTCGCATCTGCTGGGATCACCGGGTAAGTAATAGTGAGGTTAGACGTAGGTTATTAGGAGATGATGGTAAATCAGTTGATAAGGTTATGAATCTTCATCGACTGAGATGGTTGGGCCACGTGTTGCGTATGCCTGAACACCGATTACCACGGCGCGCAATGTTCACTGGTGTTAGGGATAATTGGAAGAAAGTTAGGGGCGGCCAAACCAAAACGTGATATCAGTGCTTGAAGACACTAACTTCTGGTTTGAGTCATGTTGGTAGATGCAGACTACCTGGTTGGTGTCCGCGTGACTATCGTAACCAATGGTTGGAGACTCTTGGTGACATGGCTCAGAATCGATCACAATGGCGTCGGTGTATACACTCTCTATCTTCCTTTAAACTAAGAGATTAAAATCGCTTCATATCTTTCTTTCTACGAACGAATTCTTTCTTCCTGTACTATCTCTTTATATGCAATCTTTCTTTTATATATTAACACCATTTAATTAACTACTTCTATGAATCCGGTGTTCATCTTGTTGTGCTAATGCGGTATGGCAACTTGGACCGATGCATATACGTGCCTGGTCCTACGTTGCACCTGACTGACTGACAGATTATAGATATGCCTAGCTAATGAGTCCCAACTAACCTGAAGGCTAAAACATTCAGGACGACCTGTTAATTGCTAACGATAACACAACTAAGAAAATTCTGATGAGATTTCTCATCAATTGGTAATATATTGATTTGCAGTTCAAGATAGAAACTATTGACAATATCATTTTCAAAGGAAATATAGTTGAGAGGTATAGATCAATCCTTCTCAAAATAAATTATGGTAACAATGTCAGAACCATTCTTTTCGTATCAATATACATATATGAGACAGAGTTTGTAGTAGATTCGTATCAGTAAGAATGTTCACTGTATTTACTAATCAACCAACTTTGACCAACAATTAAGATTGACGTTTATGGACTGATGGTTTTTCAACAGTCCACTTGAACATTGAGTCAACGATGATTCAAATATTTCCTATACTACATGAGGTTTTAATTTACGACAACCCAATAGTTTTATGTGGAATGTATACACCTCTTACAGAAAAACATTAAACGATATTAAAAGCAGAATCAAGGTGTCTAATTACTTGACTTGAAAAATGTAACGTTGAACAACGTCCATTTTGCTGTTGTATGGTTTGAAAAATTGATCTAATTACACTATTTTGATCTGCAGATTTCGACCGACGAAAAGGTCATTTAATATTACCGTTTTCATACTCATAGTGAGTAATTCCAACCAAGGGTTTGAGCTATCTTGAAATCTGTATCTCATTAAGAAACTATATGCGATAATCAATAGTCGTCATGTTGTCTTTTAGATTGTATGCAATTGTTGTCATCAAAACTATACTATCTTGCTAGAATTTATGCCGTTACATGGCTACTAAGGACAGATGGCACAGAGACTTAGTATATTTAGCACAGTAACTTAAAAAAAATTTATGATTAAAGCAAAGAATTCTTACAACAAAGCAAATTCGTTTAAATAGACACGAGTCAAATAAGATGAAGGACAGTATTCATTAAATAAAACAGTCTCATCCCTCAATATGACTTTATAAGGGCATATTTCATTGCTTAAATATCCTGTCAGATACACTGAGTCAGTCAGTCAGTCAGTAACAACGTGGAACTTCGTACGTACGTACATCAGTTCGAGTTGCCATACTACATTAGCACCGAGATGCAGTTATCGATTCAAATCCCATAGTGGTAGAGGTACTGAAAGTATAAGTAGTGATAGGGAACACATTAAGGTTTGATGATGTTATTTAGGGAGTATAGTCCAGTGGAATAGATGCACTGAACTACTTCAAAAATACACAATCCAGGCAATATAGGCTGAATATGTCATGGACATGAGCATACGTAACTCCTCATATAATGAATAATGCATTTCACTAAGTTTCTCACGCAAATTCTTGTAATATTAATAACATTATAAGTCTACATTTTGTTAGATAAAATAAATCATCATTATTTTGGTTGAATGGGTTTTGTGGAAATTGGTTTAATTTGCAGGTTGTATTCCTTATACTGAACTCAGTCCATGTACGACTAAAACCCACCGGTCACTGGACAGCAGTTTTATCCTGGTGTAAAAAACTCAGCAGCATGTGTCAACGACCTTGCCAGGGGGATTGAACCTAGAGCTTTCAGTTCTCGTAGTAAACGTCTAACCATTAGATCTGCTTCCAGTGGTATAATTCTAGCTTATATAGATTTGTGATAATATAGCATAATGGTCGTTCAATGCCACCGGTGACAACGGTTTCGTTTCCTGGTTTTTATTTGTAGTCTAACTGGGATTAATCTGTGATAAATACAACCCTATGAAATTAGTATCAAACTAAACATCAATATCGGTAGCAACAACATTAAGATGAAATGTCAAACAAAAAATGATTACAATATACCTTCTCATCACGTATATCATCTGCATTGACTGAAATAGGTTTTTCCATTGCTACCAATGAAAGAATTTGAATAAGATGATTTTGAACAACATCGCTAGTGATGAAAATCGTATGAGAAAAGCAGAAAGATGAATTCACGACAATACATATTGTCTACTTAAGTGAATGAACACAATGAAATGCAATATTTTAAAATCGACAAATCATTTTAAAATTCAAATGTTCCCCTTAGTGCATAGAAACCCCTAAATACCCTGGTGCGGCCGGAGGTGAGGAGAGTCCGCTCTCCTCGAAATGCTCTCACATGGCCATACACGGAAGTCCTACTCACTGCCTCCTCGTGGAGGGGGTACTGTTTACGAAATTGAGAGAAAGAAAAGCGAATGTTCGGTGCTTTAACCGGGTTGGTGGATACGGAGGATCCACATAGGGGAGTTGGAAAACCCTGATTCCAAACCACTGGTGCACATGAGCTTCAGTATCCTGAGGGAACAAAAGGAGTATGAACCAGTTGTTGGCCACTGGCGACCACAGGATTGCATCTCCTAAAGTTGCCCCACTGCCTTGTGGATTAGACCTCTAGGTTAAAGGTTCCGGGTGTGACCTCCTGAGAAATCCACCTATTTCTGTTTGGGTACCAGGGCAGTATCACAAATCAATGGTAACTGCTACTGGTCTCATTGTTATTGTGTGGTGCATATGTATTTGGCGCCCCCTTATACCAATGTTTATATGTTCAAATAAATAAATAAATAGAAACTAATGTTAAATATATGATATCACGAAACGGAATTGCATTTGATAATATTATGTAACGTCACAATCAATAGATAGACTTCGATATCATTTAAAAATGAACAAAGAGTTATTTGAGAATTCTTTTATCAACTTAAATGAATTATTTACATTGATAACTTTGGAAAGTGAATTTATAATGACAGAGTATACCAAACTACTAATTGCAAACTTTACCAAGTTCAAATCTAACAATATCATTAATAATTAATGATGTGACTTGAAATTAATGTGATATATAATACATCATTTATTGATTATTTTACTTTGATTCATTGAACATTGGTATTAAAATATACTTCTCACTATTTAATGTTATTTGCTTGATTTTTAAAGCTATTTTCCTACCGTTTAGATCATCACCTATTATTGATGCTATTATTTCGATTCGTTTGGTTCTCTTGGTGTCAATTCGTCCTAATAACATTGATTTGAAGTACGCTAGATCATACATTTTCTCATGTCCGTCAGCGAATGCACCTAACAGATAATTACGTGAATCATTCCTAACAAGAACAAATCCTAAATTTCTTAGCATCTACCATAAAAATTTTTCTGGTTCGATCAAGCATCTTCCGTAAATTGAATGGGAACGGGTCTTTTTAATTTAAATAACGATGCTTTAGATTACTGTCTTTTTGGTTAATTACTTCAAGCACTTGAATTTTGTGAATGTGTTATTGTTTCGAATTATAATATTACCCATCCATTCATCCAAACAGTCAGGTTGTTCATTTAAACATATACACCTTACAGTTTTGTCATTTAAGCTCCATTTTTACGCCGAGTAACTGACATATAGTTCATGTTTACTGTCAGTAGTCAGATGATAATTTTCGTGAATTTGCTGAGAATGTGAATTAGGTAAAGTTCAATATGACTTACTCAATAACGAGTTGATGGTCATCATAATGATGAATACTACTGTTTGTGCAAACATTGATTTTATAAGTTATTCAACAGACTCCAATTTATGATCGCAACTGTTGTTAAAATAAATAACCACTATGTGAAAATTGTGATGTCAAACTATGATTTCGAGACATTTCTATTCACAAACTTACAACAGGTGGAGAAACACTAACCTGGGACTCGTCAGCGATGGGTGTCCACAACCCTATACATATAGTCGAACCCATGAAATACAGAAGTAACATCGTACACAATATAAGTGAACCAAAAAATACTTCACGAATCTGCACTGAACCAACTAAATATTACTCTCGTAATTTGACACGTTTCAATACGTTGTTTTAAAATAAAGGGAATTTCTACCTACCGAATAATTCCGAATTGATCAAAATATCCACCGCGTCCTTCGGTTCCAAATGGTTCCTTAAATGATATTGTAATATTATCAATATTTTCACGATTCCACAGTGGACTGAAGACCTGATTACAGAATCTAGAAAGTGATTTTTTTCGCAAAAAAAGCAAATTGAATCAAGCATAGTGAGTAAAACCGGTTAAACCAAAATCTTACTGGAAAATTATCGAGAAGCATTTTAACAACTAAACTAACCAAAGTAACTTATTGAACGCTGAAAACATTACTTCCGCCTTTTTGTAGTTATAGTGATGGCTTTTGTGACGAAAATTGTTGTTTAACCAATCGCACAATTTTTTTTATTCATCTCAATATCTACTTACCATTGTCTGTTCGTTTCGTTTCCTTATTTTAAGAACCCTTCTTGTAAATTTACTTCATATGAATATAACTATTTTTCTCTTGTCTCACGTCTGTCTTGACTTTAAGTGAATGACAAAATGAAAATCATTTAAGGAGGATGGGGTGGTGCTAGACCGAAAAGTAAGGGACACGTTATTCTTTGAAAGGCAGACGATTTACCGGACATCTAAAGACTCAACGGCAAATGAGAGATCACAAACGAGACATGCTGTTAGAAGAAGTGGGTTATGTGTTTAGCTTACCAGTCGTTATCTTGATCAGTCAGGACAAATGTAAAAATACCCATGACCTGTGTACAGTACCACTTGATTTCGACAAAGCTCCTAGATCAATTTACAACCTTTTCATTCTTTTACCAATTGAACTAAGTGATTGGGAAGAGTGTGTATATCGTAACTGGGTCGAACAAACGGATTATACAACATATTTTCTAGTAACAGACGTATGTTTTGATTTCATTTACTCTAGATATGTTTTGTAAAACATGCTTTCATTTTTAAGTTGGGCAAGTTTGTTACGAATAATTGTCGATGATGAACAGTAAAACAAATATTTATTAAAAGTTTTGAGGTTTGTTGTGGTTGGCACTCAATATAATCCTTAAACTTCGAATACAATTCGTCCTGATAAACGTCACCAGATAACACCTCAATAGTGTATTAATTAGAAGACATATACAAAGTGTTGATTAAGTTTATTATTGCACCACACACAGATAACCAACATTACAGGTACGCTAAGCAAGCATGAAAGAGTAGTTCCGAAAAGTAATCGGACAAGCGAGTCGAATGAGTGAGTCAATGAACAGGATTAAAATGTACATATATATACATAGTGAAGTGAATGTCATCGAATCAATTAAGCGACTAATAATAAGGCTAGTAGAATGAATATATGCGTAGGCAGTAAGCTATGCTCAAGCATACATATTCATATAAGTGCAACAATATAAAGGTACAATGGTATAGATAAGTTGTTGTTGTACTGATGACTCTGTCCGTTAAATAAGTTAACAAAAGGACTTAACCAAATTAAATGTGAGTAAACTCAAATGCACGTGAGCTGCTATAGGTTATTCATATAGATAATAATGCAAATATGTAACTATTTAAACATGATACAGTAAATGAACTTGTTCATATGTTCCAAGTATTAAATGTTTTGACCGTACAAGAAAGTTTTATATAATAACGATACGATACACGCATGTGTAATTAAACTGACTACAAAATACTGATGATAAAACATTGGTTTGGATAGTTTCTATCAGTTTTAGTGATCATATTGAGGCTTGAAAAAAAATTAAACCACCTGGTTTATTAGCTAGACACTATTAAATGATTCCTATAAATCAAATGCATTCTAACGATGATGTAATGTTTACTTCATTGATTGAGTGTCACGATATAGGGGTATCTATTGCATTCATCAGTGGTATATTTTAGTATTTATATACGTAAAATAGAGAGTGATGATTTATTGACATCGACAGAATCTGATTTAAAACCAATTCTGACTTCATATTTGTGTTAAGCGAATTTGCTTGAGATTTACAAGATACGTTGACATAAGACAATTTCAATATTGTTATGTTAGCCCTTAAAATATGTTTTAATAAAATCTCTTTACCGATTAAAAATAAACAAGTACAAATAAGTATTTGTTAGAAAATTTCGAATTATTTTACACTCCAGATTAATTTTTTCTTCTTTTGAATAACCATACAACCGGCAAAATGTGTTACCATTATTACTCATTCATTTACGAGCTCAAAAAATAATGAACACATAAGGGAGTTAATAGTTATATATATATATACTCTAGAAAGAATCTTACCGTAAAATTAATAGATTTTGAACCATCTCTTTGCCCAAATAATGGTCGATTCGATAAATCTGTTCTTCTGTAAACAGTTTAGTTAATTCAGAATTCAATTCATTAAATGACTCTAAATCTCGTCCAAATGGTTTTTCAATGATCAATCGAGTCCACGTATCAGGGCTAAGAAATTTTTACCAACATAAAATGAATATTTATGAAAGTCACAAGTTTCAGTGTTCTAATATATTCATTGTTAGTTACTTTCTGAATGCGAAATGTATATTGATACAGGGTACTTTGGTAACTTGATCAGGATGAAGATAGTACTTAAAAAAAGACTCATAGAACAGTCATAGTGTTATATCCTTTATACAGGAAATGTATTCTGGGATTATAACAGTCAAAGGATGAGAGTGTAACTTATTGAAGGAAGTGAAAACATATGAACCACTGTTTTTTTTATTATTCACTACATTTAAAAACTGCAGTTTGTTATAATATGACTTTTATATAATGATTGGGTATAAGGACAAAGATAACAACAAACAACACAGAAATAAACTCCAAAAGAATCATAGAAATATTTTGAGAAAAAGAACAGGAGATATGTTTGAAAAGAAAACTGACGCTACCACTACAAAAGATTAGGCATATTCACTGATTCCTTATGGTAATTATCTTACAAAACAGAAAACAAAGCAACCTGAACTATTAAATTAACCAAAAAACAAGTATAATACGAAGGGTCATTTTGTTATTTATGAGTATAACATAGTACAAAGCAGTGTGAAAAAGAAATTTTCCCAAATGAACTAAATGTAAATTTATCAATAATTAAATTAGCCAAAGGCCCTCTGACAACGGTTCACCCTAAATAAACCACAACTAATTCGGAACAAGATATATATCCTTAGTTAGGAAAAGTATTGTTGTAGTAGACAACAATACTTCAATCAATGAAACTTGTTGGCTGAAAAACTTTAAATTGTCAAGTAAGCTCGAAATGTAATTGACAAGATTCAAATTGCTGTTGTGCTTCAACGCTCCAGTGTGCCACTAATCCAGATAATCTATTAATATTGTGTCACTTCAGCATTCCGATTTACTTGAAACGAATATTAAGAACAGAATTTAAGATTTCACGCGTAAGTTAGAAATCTAATCTAGACTCATAGAGGTGCATAAAATTCGAAATGTGATATTGAAATCGAGTTCCAGTTGAGAGCCCCACTTATTGTAAGATATATTACAGTCGTTTAAGATAAAGAATCTTTTTTTTTCTGAAACAGACAAATTTTCACCATCGACACGCATCATAACGACTCGGTAATACAGTTAAATGAAGCCCAGATATTATTCGCCGATGTTAGCACGAAAAATCGGCTAAATATTTTTATTATCTATTGTCGTTATTGATAGAATTCGACCACAATAACCCCTAAAATACCACCGTATTATACACTTTATATATATATATATACTTAGGCATTTTATTAGCAAAACCAATGACAATTTGCTTCACGATCATTATCTATTAACGATCATTTTTGATGTTGCGAATTATCGGAACTTCTAGTTGAAATATTAAGAAGTTGATATCTGCATGCTTACATACACATTTTTCCTAAACTTTATGTCGTGGAAGAGGTTTTCCGTAATTTGATTAGCTGAAATTTCGACTATTAATATCGTTGAATACAGTGCCAGTCATTAGATGAATACAAGGTGACCGAATGATGGCTACCTACGAGACTGTATAATTGACTTAGGTCTCTGAATAATTGGAAATCAAAAACAAGGCCACTAACCAAATGAATAGTTTCTTCATATGATCAGATAACATGTTTGTATACAACCCATGAATACAACATAAACATGACAAAACGTCATAGCAAATTAGAGGAAAACAGCTTGTAGGTCATTTATTCTTTAATGAATTAAGGCCTGACTATCAGGCCTAATTGTCGGGCATCGTTTGACTTTCTGAAAGATCAATGTATGTGAGGTGTTTTAGGATTAAGAGTAATTTGGAAAACACATCTTCAGACTCTTGGCCTTTAGCCAAAATTTTCTGAACTAAATGAAATTTCAAGTTTAGAAACTGAATCACTCATACTGAAATCAAATCAAGATATAATCACAAGATAGAGAAATGGAATTTAATATTAACCTCGATTTATAAGTTTGTTCATAAAACAAAATGCAAACAATGATGTGTTAAGGCCTAGTTGGTTTTGGAATGGTGACATTCTGAAATATGACTGATTAGAAAAATAATGTCAGTTATTAATGACTTAGGCTTTCGATAATCATATGAATGCAGCAACCTCGATTGTTAAAAAGACAAAGTGCAAATTATTAGCAGTTTAGTTTAAAATTCAAATATCCATTTATTTCACAGTCATGTCGATGAACGGAATAAATTGAAAGCTAAACTACCATTAACATAAAAATCTCATTCAGCAGAGCACCAAATGGTAATTTGAAGGATCATGATTATAATTTAGTCATAAAATAATCTATTTGTTCATTTATTTTAAAAGTTAATGATTATTCTTATACATATTGTCTGTAGAAGAAAAAAGATCACAAAACAACTCAACTGATAATAATTACTTCAAGAATTATAACTGAGTGAAATGTTGCTTACTTTTTGTTAGTACAATATTCTTTGATAGATGATGAAACAGGTTTATAAACTGATGGTGGTATAGCGTAATAAAATATGTGATTAACAGATTGTCCCCACTTAGACTCTATAAACTTATTTAGTAATTCAAATGTTTTTGGATTCGTATAATCTCCTCTCATGTAAAAATTACAGTTCCAAAATTCTTCATATTTTTGACACGGAGATGATGAGAGCTGATAGGAACCAAATAAAAGTTATTTATGAAGTAGAGTACTATAAAAAACTAGTTAATTAACTTAAAAAGACAATGTGTACGATAAATATTGTGGATTGAAAAGATATTCTAATTCAGAGAATTTAAGAATTAGATTTATCTAGTCCATTTTTTCACATTTTTCAAAGGGACTTAAAATGATCCATTCCCACCAAAAATATTTTACAAATGAATCCATTAACATTGATTGATGATTAACATATTACAAGCCAACATGTTTTATTTTTATTTCAACACATAGATATTGGTACAAGGAGGCACCAAATACATACGCGCCACACAGATCTCATTTGATAAGTGTGAGGGATGTGATACTGCCCGGGTGCCAAAACCGAAGCAGGTGGTTTTCTTAGGGGGCCACACTACGAGCCTTCGACCTGAAGATCTGACCCACAAGGCAGTGGAGCATCGTGAGGAGATGCAGTCCCATGGTAGCCGGTGACCAACGATTGGTTCATACGCCATTTGTTCCTTCAGGATACTGGAGCCCATGTGCACCATTGGTTTGAAATCCGGTTAAAGCGCCGGACATTCGCTTTTCGTCCTCTCATTTTCGTAAACAACACCCCCGCCACGTGAAGGCAGTGAGTAGGACTTCCCTGGCAAAGGCTATATACGCGTGGCCATGTGAGAGCGTTTCGAGAGGGAGAGCGGACTCTCTTCACTCTCGGCCGTACCAGGGCATTTGGGGGAAATGGAGGTGGTTACTTCGTCGCCGAAAATTACACCTGCTCCGGTGGGTGGCCTGCCTAACCAAGCCAACATGTAGGGTACTCATTTTCACGTAGGAATTGAAAAATCTCACCTTTTTTATTGTATTCACATGGAGATATCATAGTGATGTGCCAGGTGAGGTATAGTGTGAAAAAATATTTACCCCCAAAAAACCATAAACCATTAGTCTCAGTAACTAAATATACAAGTGTACGGCAAACCAATAGATACATTTTAGAGTTGACTAACCATACTAATTAACTATTGAAAAAGTGGGACGAGTTTGGAATAAAAACTGAATGGCTGACAGCCAAATAGCAAAGACTGTGTCCATTAAGAAAAGCTTCGGAAAATTTATCAATAATAAATGTGGACAGAGTTGAAAGTATCGTAAAATTGGATAGGACTAGAAAAGTATGGCCAGTATACATACTTCTAACCGAGAGATTAAACATAAAAGTTGATTACACCAGTCAGTCATCAACGTGGAACCTAGCGCGAAACTGGGTCGGTTCAGGTGAGAAAAGTATTGAAATATAAATATGAAAAATACAAATCAAAGTCATAGTTACGAGGCGACCTCATAATTCAGAAAGATATTGCAATGATTTCTAGTAGAACTTAGAAGATATTAGCCCAAATATACCAATCTAGATAAATGAGACTTAATACATAGAAAAAATTACATACCTAAATTTAGGTGAACTTTGCTCTAGAGCTTGATAGTTATTTCAAAAACTTAGGTGGAAGCAAACGTCTGCTAGTGAAATACGAACAGTAATTTAAATTCTCCGCCGTTAAGTTTCCGTAAATAAGGTTGTAACAATGAAATCTTACCTTGGCAAATTTCTCACTTCCTGCTCTTATGTCCTGGGTACCAATATCAGATCGTGCAAACCCAACGAAGTAAGTTCGAGGGGGCAGCAGACCGTCACGGAACAACCACCTAGATTGTAACAAAGTTAATCATCAGGTTACCATAAAGTCGGATAAGTTTTTTTCTTTGCCAAATCACCCTATAATATAATATAAATAGACGTTCTAGTATTTCTTACAGAAGCTCCGATGATCACAACAACATGAATATGACTTTTATCTTCCTCCAAAGACATCTTAATAATGTTCAAGAATTCTTCACATTCACTTTCGTTTACTTCTGACATTTCTTAATAACCTGGTAAAAATTTGAACATGATTTTTTATTATGAAGCACAATGGGAGATTATTTACAAGAATTAAAACTTCCAGTCATGGAAATGTCAATTAGTTACAAATGGTAAAAAATACAGCCCGTTCAACAAATTTAAGTTTTAGAGTATATAAAAGAGGGAACTAGTATGTCAGTGACCGTGGAAATCACTATGAGGTTGCAAACACGGACAATAAAATACCGGGTTATTTAAATGTTCTGCCAGATATACACCATATTCTACGTTGGCTGTGACCGACTTCATAGTAAACTTTGCCCATAAACATTTGGTATGCATATGTAAGGCTCTTAAGATCTATCTCACCAAACAAACTGAGAGGACATGGCAGTATTCTGAATGGACCATCCTAAATGTCAGAACACAATGACATGGCTCACATGGATAACCAGACTTTCGCGGATCGATACTAGTGCATGTTTCTAGACTGTTTACAAACTACTGTAGGATCCAGCAAATTGACGCTGCTTCTCGGATTTTGATGTAAGTCATCTACAATATTTTCAATCACCTGCTTCAAGTATTAACTAAAACAACCTATGGTAAAAAAGTAGGGCTTTTTAACGATATGTACAAAAACTCAAATGAAAGTGACATCAACATAAATCTCTGGAGCAAGAAAGAACAATGCTTAAATATAAATGTGGTAAGCTGGGTTTCATTGATTAAAAATCCAGTTATGCAAGCTCAAATCACTGAGATTTCAGTTGCTTGTATAGAGTAATATGTGTACTATTATTCACACATGGACATTACCGAAACAAACTGAGATTTTGACTGCCTGGGTATATATATAATACTTCCGTGACATTCCAATTAGTAATTCGGAACCTTTCAAAAACAAGTGGCTAACCCGGAATCACTACGAATAAATAACGAACAAAGCCGCGATGTATTACAACAATTTGCAGCTACATAAACAATATAAAACTGAGCGTTCAATAAGACAATATGAGCTAAAATCCTGAAACCTGACAAGTTGTTATAGGCAGCTCTAAATTTCGAGCACTCAAATTATTGAAGTCTCCCCACTGCACTTGAGCTTAGACAGATTCATATGACCTCATCGTGAAAAATCCATGTGATTAGTGATCAGCGCCTATTTATGATAAATTAAAATTAAAAGGTTTATCCGTAGTTATGCTAATTTAATTTGTTCCTTGAACTATGAATATCAGATTATTTAGTGTAAACATATGACATATGTCCTGATGAAAGGGGCGGAACACCATAAAATAAAAAACTGCTACATATAGTTGAAAATTATATTTAACCTTACACTTAAATAATACTTACTTGGTTTTGCCAGTAACAAAATGAAGTCTCTGTGCCTCAGCAAAAATAAGTCGTTCTAAATATATAGCTTTGGAACTAGTCTAGGTGAATATAAATCTCAACCGCAGAATACGGAGACCGATAAAACAGAATACAAGTAAACACAAAAACCCAACTTACGAATTGCGTTCCGACTTTGTAGGTCAAACAGTGATTCAAATGAATCAAATAAAATTTAGAGGAACAAAACATAATGTATCACTGATGTTTCCAAGTTGGAATCTAGTTGCATTCGATGATAAAAATAGGAATATTGATGAATTGTAGTGAAATACTGTACTAAGTCCTTAAGAAGACCTAGAAAGTTACTTTCCCTACCTCAACTGGCAGTGAATTCCAAAACTTGACTGCTCATCACTGATTGAAAACTAAATAAATGACTCAGTAGCATTAACAGTAAGAGCATGAACCTATTTTAGGCAGTTATACAATCAGGTAACTCAACTATATTAATCTTGGACAGTTCCAAAGAAAGAGAAGCACGACCAGCCCCAGATAGACCGAGATATTTGACGTTCTGTAAGACAAAATAGAAAATATTGGAACGTTGCTATCAGCCATGACACGTCAAGCGCGACGGAACGCTACAGATCGGTAAGAAACAAGTTTGTAAATACAACCCAGGAAACTCAGCGAAAATTTGAAGAACGGTTGGCACAATCTTTAATCGAGCAGCTTAAGAGACTGTTCTCAGGCATAAATTTCAGAAGAAGGGCACGAAATTCCATTCGAAACCTGACGATGGAAGGGAGTGGATCTGAAATGATGGAGGATGGTTAGAAGAAGCAGAAGCTATTTCAATGTAATTCGGGCCTGTTTTCACTCACAAGCCTCTTCTAGACGAAGAAATAGACGCAAAAAGAATGTCAATATACTGTCTGCTCACTGTAGACGGTGTGCTTAAAGTCCTTAGATTTTTTGAAACGGAAACGTTTACAGGACGGGACGAACTACTTGTTAAAATCTTGGGACAAATTGTGCAATAAATTGCAACCCCATTGATTACGATATTCAACATGTCCCTTGACTAAGGTGACTTTGCAGTGGCATTGGCCCCTCAAAAAGAGACATTATGGAAAAAAGACATTCAACAACTAACGCGGAGAAATACCCAGGGATGGAGAAGGCGGGAACAATGAATTGAGTGAATCTGAACTGATCGGATGGCATGGCTCGGCCATGCAGGCGTGGTTCCTACTGAATGTTACAATATATCTTTTATTCATAATAAATATATTGTTCTATCTCTGGTCTAAGCTTGTTTTCCGTCATCTTGGTAATTGTTACGATGCAGTAAGTTGGTGTAAACGTATGATCTTATGGATTGGTTATTTATACCATAACGAATCTACAATTTTAGGATTAGGTCTATTATTAGAGTAGTACTAATATCATAGTAGACCGTAATTCTACAAGTTGTCCGTGGATTAGAATAACTCAACTGTCACTCCAATACATGAAACAGGACCAAGAAATCTTCCATCAAACTACAGACCTATCAGCGTCACCAGTATTGCAGTTAAAATACTGGAATGGATAACCCAGAACACCATAATGACATTGGTGGGAACCAACAACTCGTTGATTAGTGAACGACACGAAATCAGGACTGGTTTATCTTGCACAACAAACCTCCTAATTGCAAGGGAGCAATGGATAGTGGCTCTAGACAATAGAAAATCATTGGAGGTTGTCTACATAGACCGGCAGTTTCCTTCAGACATCCAAAACATTCCTGGATCCAACGATGTAATCGCAGACGCCTTGCCTCGCATAACTTCCTTGAACAGTTTCGAGGAATAAACCTTCTTAAACTTGCCCAGCTTCAAAAAGAAAACACTGATCTTCAGCACGAGGTATCCCTAGCTACCCCAAAACTACGCGTTAAGAACATGGCAACAGGTAAAGAAAACCTTACTGTGAGACATATCTACACATAAGGATCGTCCAATCGCTTACAAATGCAAAGCGTTCAGTTAAACTTACTATGTGACACATCTACAGGTAGGGATCGCCAAATCGTGCTGAAACATTGTTGACGCAACGTCTTCAACACGTTGCACAAACTTTCTCAACCAGATGCTGCTCCGCATAGCAAGCTATCAAAAGTGTTTACCAACGAAAAACTCGTTGAGCTTAAACTTCTGGCTGGTCACGTCTTAGGGGCGTCACCACCCAACCGGAGGGAATGGTCTGTTGCGGTAAATAAATCCCCAAAATCAATGGATCTGTGAGTCTTCGGCGTTGGATGCTGGCCACACTAGTTTTAATGAACTCACCTAACTGAACGCACTCGGTCATTCATCCGCACGGGATCACGAGCTGGAATGATGTGCTCAACATCTCGTGCAATCGCTAGACAGACTAAACCAGTCGATCTTCGATATATTGATAAACTATCAAATATATCTTCGAACCTCCTTGCTTATGTCTTTTGTGGGTACGATTCATATTAAAAGGTGTTGCTGATTAAAGGGTTATCGAACTCAAAACACCTGTGGCATCTTCACTATCCTCTAGTTACTGTTCGGTATATATTCTATGTCTGCTTTTCCGTGTTTTATAGACTGTACTTTTTATTTTGTAAATTAACGGGGTCATTATTTAGCACAAATATCAGAAAAAGCCATGAACGAACAAAATATACGTGGCATACATGTTTTCACATTGAGCCATCAATAATTGATATCTGTATCACGCTATGTTACCCGACTCACTGGTGTCTGCACATTCATTTGATTCATTCGAGAGAACGGTAGACACTCACAGAAACGTACTAGAAAAGAGCGACATGGATCGAAGGTCTACTGTCCGTACCACACAAATTTGACTCTGAAATTCGAAATATGAACAAGGACAAATAGGAATAAATGTAGACATAATCGAATTTTTGCGTTACATATGTGCGAGAATGAAGCTTTTGTACACGACATTTGACGTAATGGTATCTGTTTCAGAAATAAAAAATCAGTAGGTTTATTCGGAATAAAAAATCTCATGGTAAAGAATACTGGGTTACAGGGTCAATAATATTTACGATGTGGATAATAAAACATATCTTCTAAAACTTGCTAGGTAACTATTTATTTTGAAGTTATGTTTTGCTTTCAGCACGAAGTCTGACGACAAGGCGATATTGCTTTTAGAATCTGGCTCACGCTTACATATTACTGATTTTGACTGGCCAAAAAATATCATGCCGTCAGGATTTTCCATGAAGGTGTGTTATTTAAGTCACTTATTAACATTAATGCATATCCTGTGTAAAAACCAATCATATGAATTAGATGGTCTTTTATTATTCTTATCTGAAATGTTTATTAATTGCAGCTGCGTAAACACATACGAAACAAGAAGATCGTTGATATCTCCCAAATAGGAGCCGATCGCGTTGTTGATATCCAGATTGGTTATGAGTCTTCTGCTTATCATTTAATTGTGGAGTTGTACGACCGGGTAAGTGCGATTTGAGCGTTGGCTTCCTCAAAAGTATTTTTGTGACAGTACTTCAAACTTGTTTACTGACAATACGGTTAGTTTAAGTTGTTAACGCAAAATCAACAAATACGTAAAGCTTCTTTTTTCCCAGATATGCTCACAGCTATTTGAATTGTACCAGGTCTGACCGTTGCTGTTCGTGTAGCACTGATAATCCACGTTTTTGTCTAAGTCAATTTTTGTCATGATGCAGTATACATGAATTCATACAACAATCCCACATCTCACACGACTAAAGTTTGTTAATTGATTTGATGGAACTGAACGTGGATCTTAATTCCCAGACCAATTCAGTGATAGCATTCTATAACAACATGATTTATTGATGACCTCTATATAATTTGACACAGTTCCACGGCATAAGCTCCCACATCAAAATCAGTATAAAGAGTAGACGGAATAATACTTTGAAAAGACAAAAACAATAGTAGTGTCGTTGTAAAAATCAACCAGTCTTAGAAAGTATGCCTCCAAAAGAAAGAAGGATATGAGATTAAGTAATATTGAAGCTAGAAATTGGAAAAAAATCTACCAAGGTTTGTTTCGTCTGCTCCTTCGTAACTGATTTTAAACGATGTCACGAATTGCTTCTAATCAATGGTTATGATTGTCCCTCAGTATCTCGACTTGTTGTCCTCACCTTTTGATTCCTTTGACTAATATTTAATAACTGAATGAACTTAATTTGATTTAACATAGCTCTCTTCCAATCCAATTTTACGCCAATGGACATTGACCATTAAAGGTCACGTTGGTTGATCATGAGTTACACAAAATTATTGTACTGGTAACTCAAATCGTTTATCCAAGTATCTCATAAATCTTGAAGTTGTTAGTAAGGTCTCAATCATGGTAGTCTTCCATCCAAAACTATTCAATAGTCCATCAAGCTACAGAAGAATATCTATTTAAAACTTCTAAATTTATGTAAGGTAGTTTTCCAAACAAACGTTTTCTTCATAGTCACTGTTTGGATGGTATTTGTGTCTAACACCTCGGTAAGTTATTTAAACTGTCAATAATGCACTAATGGGTCATTTGTCGATATAGTCATTAATTTGAAACTGTTACTCAGAAGTGACGAAGAGATTGTATCGTAAACAAGCGGATGTCGAGCCCCGTCGGACATGAGAGCTGTTATCAATCCCCGGTTCCTCACAACACAAGAGGATATTTCTTCTCGGCGGACCTAAAAAGGAAACTAGGTTGCCAGTGTTCGTAGCTATCTGGAAATGTGTCTGGAGCACCTAAAAGATGCAAGCTTGAGGCTCGTGACACATGACCTTTCTGTAATAAGTTTGTAATATGTTAGCCTTGTGTTCTCAAAGACCCTACCTCTGTATCTTGTCTATTGTCTCCCATTACCACCAATACTGTTACTACCTCCACTACTCTTGAATTTGTCTTGATTATTTCATCTCACCGTGCTAATAAGGGTATGGTAACTTGAATCGACGTGCACGTGCCAGGTACTATGTTGCATCCATTCAACTGGACCTGTAATTAATAGTGCCCAATAATTAAACTTAACTATGATTCCTTAATTGGTTCAAGAGTTAGTGGCAAACAAACTAACTTCCTTCAATCGCCTGACGTATCATTACTATTCGCGTTAATATTTTGTAGCAGTTAAGACTCAGTCGATTCAAAGTTTGCCATTCCCTCGAAATGCAAAATGTTGCTTCATGATTGGGTTGCGTCGACACCCAAACTAGTGATAGGGAGTGAAGTAGTTGAGCGTGTCGACCGCTTCACTTATCTTGGAAGTCTCGTCAGCCCTTGTGGTCTGGTTTGACGAAATCTCAGCACGGATACAGAAGGCTCGACTAACTTTTGCCAACACGCGTCATTTGTGGCGTAGGCGAGATATCCGTCCACCAACCAAAGGACGTGTTTACTGCTCAGCAGTTCGTTCTGTCTTACTTTATGGCAGTGAAACATGGCCGGTAAGAGTAGAGGATATTCGTAGGCTACTAGTATTCGACCTTAGATGTCTTCGAAACATCGCTCGTATATCCTGGGACCACCGAGTAAGTAATGCAGTTGTTAGGAGACGGGTACCAGGTAAGGAATGCAAATCGATTGATGAAGTAGTGAAACTTAACCAGTTGGGATGGCTGGGACATGTGTTACGTAACCCTAATCACCGAATGCCCCGACGTGCGATGTTTTGTGGTGTAGGAGTAGGTTGGAAGAAAGCTAGGGGCGGCCAGACCAAAACATGGCAGAAATCCATGAAGTCACTGACAAGTGGACTGAGTCATGTTGGTAGGTGTAGACTACCTGGTTGGGGACCGCGAGACGGTAGCAGCCGATGGTTAGATACGTTGAATGACATGGCTCAAAATCGTTTGCAATGGCGCAGGTGCATCCACTCTTTGTGTTCTCTCAAATTCTAATCTTCTGAATTCTTCATGTCCTTTATTTTATTTCCGAATCTATTCCACTAGATTATACTCCTTAAATAACATCATCAAACCCTAATGTTTCCTACCACTACTTATACTTTCGCTACCTCTACCACTACGGGATTTGAATCGATAACTGCATCTCGGTGCTAATGTAGTATGGCAACTCGAACTGATGTACGTACGTACGAAGTTCCACGTTGTTACTGACTGACTATTACTATCTATTGTAACACTAATAATTCTAAATCTTCGACTCCAAAACGTGATGCAGAACTTATCGAAAACGTTTTCGCCCTGATACTGTTTGTTCTCAATGTCTTATATATCAACACGTCATTTTATTACCCATAAGCTCATTATTTTGGTTGGTGGTCTTGTATTTCATTTTATAGCGTTAGGAGGATTGCCCGAATAATACGATCTTAAGAACAGCCATCACTCAACCATATCATATCATTGCATTTTGTTCTTTCATTTCAACAGTTGAAGATTCGTCTCATCAAACTATAAAGCTCTACTCCGTAACACTGATCTAGACCGTTTACCGAAACACACCAGATTCCACTACACATAATTATTCGTTTTGTAATTTTCCACCATTCACCCGGCCGTTTTCTGTAAAGTTTATCTCCCAATTATTCTCATGAAATACTTCGTAACTTTTTAGGGGAATATGCTTCTTACTGATGACTCATTTACGATCCTTCACTTGCTGCGTCCCCGAACTGATAAAAATCAGAATATTCGATTTGCAGCCCACGAGAAGTATCCTACAACTTCCTGTCGCCAGATCCTGGAATGTTTTCGCGACTTAAAAGACCAAAAATCTTTAAAGGATATTGAGGATTTCCTCATTCCATTATTCCAATCATCTAAGGGACCTTGGACTTCCAATACACAAACATGTGACAACCCTTCCATAAACAAAACGTTATCTTTGGAATTACGTAAGTAAATGCCAATTTATTTACCACCGAATTTAGCTTATGGCAGCGTCATCATAGAACACTGCATACGTGTAGCCGGAAATAAAGTCAAGCAGATGAAACATCATAAAGAAGATTTCCAGCTACAATCTGAAAAAACAGACTTGATAGAGTTGTACGTCAGACACTTCGCTATGGCTTTGAGAGATATTTTACTAGAACCATTCTTATGTGACCGTCAAGCGACTCCACGTGGTTATATATTTGGGAAATCCTATCAATCTGCGGACGAAGGTTTGCAAACGTAAGATGTTTTAAAGGAGCTTTTTAGTTATTCGTTGCGTACTAATACTACATAACCAACTTATGTTTTTCGGATCGTCTTGGGGCTCTATTTTCGAATATTCGTATCTCTAGAACGAATTCTTTTCTTTGTTATCACCATGTCCAAAAGGGTTGTTGTTTAATTTTTTCAAAGAGCTCTAATCTCATATGATTTTTGATTGTGAATAATACTGAAAAGATTTTTGACTGTTTGTATGCGAAGTAATCTTCCGACTTCTACTGCAGCTATTTGTGCACATGAGATGAGCGGTAGTTGAGCTTGTGTAACATATATCCTAACCACCTTAGCGAATTCTGACTCACAGCCTCGTTGATCAATTTGATCTCTTTCCTAATTACTCTACATCTACCTAGAGCATCTCTCATTCAGTCGTTCTGACAAATACTTTAAAGACAACTGTGATAAAAAAAAGTACATTCTGTGCAGATCTACTTTCACAGCCCTTTCCACTCTCATAGAGTAATATCGAATGGACCACTGAATAGTATACTCTTCTTATTTGACAAACGGATACCTTGCCTACACTAGTATGTAAACACATGAACGTGCAAGGATAAGGCTTTTTAAGTACGGTCTATATAACTATCCCTATGGAAGTAATTTAATTAATAAATATAAGATAAGGTGTTAATAATGGGCTTGCTATGTCTAGAACATTGTGAACAAAGAGTGGTAATAAGGATTTATTTGACCCCCAGGATAAATAAAAAAAGATGTATGGATAAACTGTTTTTTATACAATTTATTTAGTCAGATTAACAATCAGATCTGTATAATTTGACTGAGTAGTACTTAACATCAATTATTCAATAACTTACTATGAGGACACATATTTGTAATATCGTGCTGATCGATTTCTACATGGATTTGATTTTTCTGTTTTGATGCTTTCATCTCACCTTCCTTTCCTGAAGATCGATCCGACTTCTCTGACTCAACTGAAGGTATTAGGGATGGAGACTTTTTATGGTATTTTCGAGGTCTAGTTATTGTTTCTGATGCTTTGGCTTCGTTGTTCCTTAAAGATTGTATCAACGAGGTGGTCCAATGTTTGGGCCTAGAGTGTTTCTTAATTGGTGTGAGCTCTCTAGATCGCATGTGATTCATGTGTTGCGTCAGACATTTTCCTTGGACATTTCTTTGGTAAACCACGTTACTCACTCTTCTTATGTCGGTACCAACTATCCAGGTAGGCCACTACTGTCGACAGTTTCATATACTGGCAACCCGTCCGGGAATTGACTTTCAGTAACCTTAACCTCGGGTTCACAATCCCTCTTTACTTCATATAGATACATGGGATCAAATTATTAAATGGCAATCGGAAACTATTTTTGGTGTCACATTCATTTTGTGTAAACCTCATCAGGAGCCTGGTCAGTTAAATATTCATTATATTAATGCTAATGTAACAAGTACTCACGTTACTAGTAATTGTGCTAACAGTGTCCACTTTATTAATGACCAGGTTACAAGTATTCATACTATTTATAATCACATTACAAGGACCCTCTGTGTACTATTCAAAGGTGTTTATTAATTTAATGGTCACATTATCAGCGCTAAATGTTTTGTTATTCTCAACTCACATGGTCATATTGGCAATAAAGTATTTTAAGGATTGATGACAAATTGTAGACATCCAGATTTAACTTCCAGTTATAAAAATCGGATGAGCGCAGTTATAAGAGGATGCCAATCACCAGAATTCAAACACCGTTTTGAGTTTGCACACTACTTACGAAGGGGAAATAATTGATTTCCATTCCAACAATTTCAGTCAAACCTATTTGTTTTATGACAAGATCAAACAAGTAAAATTAAGTCCGTGTGGAAATCGATCAGCACGATATTACAAATATGTGTCCTCATAGTAAGTTATTGAATAATTGATGTTAAGTATTACTCAGTCAAATTATACAGATCTGATTGTTAATCTGACTAAATAAATTGTATAAAAAGCAGTTTATCCATACATCTTTTTTATTTATCCTGGGGGTCAAATAAATCCTTATTACCACTTTTTGTCTTTTCACTAAATGTCGTCGGATTTGAGGGTCAGTCAAACATTTAATAGACGCAACGGGTTCATGTTCCTTCACTTTTGTTGGGGTATCCAAGTAATAGTCTACTACGTGAATCTGTACTCCGTTTTTAAGTGGTACCAAAATAGATTCGGTCTCATGTATTCATTTGATTATATTAATGTCATTCAGAAAAGCTTTTCTTTATTTGTTCAAAAATCTTTTCTTTATTTCAGTTATGAAGAATTTCACCCATTCATATTCGAACAATATCGAAATAAACCTCACTTAGTATTTGACAGTTTCAATAAGGTGAACTGAGAATTCCTAATGTGAATTTTTCACTTATATGAATTGTCTTGTGTTTATTTTGTTGTGTGACAAAATATCTGATCATCATCAAGGATGTATAATATATCTGTTAGGTTTGTTTGTGTAAGAAGTATTATTGTCTAAATGTCTTGTAAATTTAAAGCGCAAATAACAATGTTTGAAAGATACTTACTTACGCCTGTTACTCCCAATGGAGCATAGGCCGCCGACCAGCATTCTCCAACCCACTTTGTCCTGGGTCTTCTTTTCTAGTTCCATCCAGTTCTTGTTCATTTTTCTGATGTCTATCTCCATTTCTCGGTGTAATGTGTTCTTTGGTCTTCCTCTCCTCCTTCGGCCTTCAGGATTACATGTAAGGGCTTGTCTTGTGACGCAGTTGGGTGCTTTCCTCAATGTATGTCCTATCCACTTCCTGATTTCTTCCTCCACTGGGATCTGATTTGCTCTCTCCCTTAGTAGGTTGTTGCTAATAGTGTCCGGCCAGCGGATTCGAAGTATTTTGCGTAGACAACTGTTAATAAACACCTGTATCTTCTGGATGATAGCTTTCGTAGTTTTCCAGGATTCCGCCCTTACAGTAGAACTGTGTTGACATTTGTATTGAAAATTCTGACCTTGGTGTTGGTTGCCAATTGTTTTGAGTTCTAGATGTTCTTCAGTTGTAAATATGCTGCTCTTGCTTTGCCGATCCGTGCCTTCACATCTGCATCAGATCCACCGTGTTCATCATTGATGCTGCCCAAATATGTAGAGGTTTGTACTTCTTCCGAATCTCCGTCAAATGTGATTGGATTGGTGCATGTTGTGTTGTATCGGAGAATCTTGCTTTTCCCTTTGTGTATATTGAGACCTATTGCTGCTGAGACTGCTGCTACACTGGTTGTCTTCTCCTGCATTTGTTGTTGGGTATGCGATAGAAGAGCCAGATCATCTGCGAAGTCTAGATCGTTCAGCTGCATCCTAGCTATCCACTGTATCCCGTGCTTCCCTTCAGATGTTGATGTCTTCATGATCCAGTCGATCACCAGGAGAAAGAAAAAGGGTGAGAGTAAGCAACCTTGCCTGACACCGGTCTTTACTTCGAATGAGTCTGTCAGTTGACCTCCATGCAGGATTTTACATTTTCATCCATCATAGGAATTCCATATGATGTTGACTAACTTCTCAGGCACGTCATAATGTCGAAAAAGCTTCCATAGTGTTGTTCTGTCCACGCTGTCAAATGCCTTTTCGTAGTCAATGAAGTTGATGAGAAGTGATGAATTCCATTCAATTGATTGTTCCACAATGATCGGTAGAGTTGCGACTTGGTCCATACACAATCTAACCTTACGGAATCCTGCCTGTTGGTCTCGAAGTTAGGCATCTACGGAGTCCTTCATCCTGTTTAACAATACCCTGTTGAAGACTTTTCCTGGTATTGAAAAAAGAGTGATTCCCCTGTAGTTATCACAGCTGCTGAGATCGCCTTTCCTTGGTATTTTGACTAGAAGTCCTTCTTTCCAGTCTTTTGGTACCTGTTCCTCATCCCAGATCTTTCTGAAGAGAATGTGGGATATCCTTGCAGTTGCCGCTACGTCTGCTTTCAGTGCCTCTGCTGGAATGCTGTCTAGTCCTGCTGCTTTGCCACTCTTGATTTGTCTGACAGCCATGCTGATTTCTTCAATTTTGGTGGGCCAACATCGATTGTGAGGTCCGTGAGTGCTGCTTCGATGTTGGGTGGGTTCAGTGGGGCTGGTCGATTCAAGAGTTCTTTGGAATGTTCTACCCACCTGTTTCGTCGTTCTTCAATGTTGGTGATTATCTTGCCTTCCTTGTTTTTCACTGGTCGTTCTGGTTTACAGTGATTTCCAGAGAGTTTCTTTGTTGTTTCATACAGTTGTCTCATGTTTCCTTCTCTTGCAGCCTTTTCCGCCGTCATTGCTAAATCTTCCACATATTTACGTTTGTCAGTTCTGATGCTCCTCTTCACTTGCTTGTTTACTTCTGTGTATTCAGCTTGTTCCTTGGCTTTTTCTGCTCTTGTTCGACTGGTATCGATTGCTGCTTTCTTGTTCCTCCTTTCTTGAATCTTATCCAGTGTATCGACCGTGATCCAATCCTTGTGATGGTGCTTCTTTTGGCCCAGAACCTCATGACATGTTGAAGTGATTGTCTCTTTAATCTCTTTCCAATTGCTCTCCAGAGTAGTTCCTTCTCCATTGAGTAGATCATGAAAGGCCTGGAACTTATTGCTGAGGGTTATCTTGAATTTGTTGAGTTTGTCATTATCCCGAAGAAGAGCCGTATTAAACTTTTGTGATATTGTCCACCCCGTTGTCCAGTGCCTCTTGAGTTTCAATTTCATCTTTGCGACCAGCAAGTGATGATCTGATGCTATATCAGCTCCTCTCTTGGTTCTCACGTCTTCCGTCGTCCTCCTGAACGTTTTGTTGATGCAGATATGGTCGATTCGGTTTTGCGTAGTGTGATGCAGTGAAGTCCATGTGGTTTTGTGTATGCGTTTGTGTGGGAATATAACGCTGCCTATGACCAGTTTATTGAAGGCACATAGATTTGCAAATCTCTCACCATTTTCGTTCCTTTCTCTGAGTCCGTGTCGTCCCATGATCTCTTCATATCCGGTGTTTTCAATTCCAACCTTGGCATTTAGGTCTCCCATCAGAATGGTCAGGTCCTTTGTTGGGCACTTCTCGACGATTGACTGCAGCCTATCGTAGAATTGATCTTTAGCGACTTCATTGTAGTCGTTGGTAGGCGCGTAGCATTGGATGACGTTCATTGTAATGCCATTTTTCTTTGTTTTGAAGCAGACTTTGATGATCCTTGGTCCATGAGACTCCCATCCTATAAGTGCATTTTGTGCTCGTTTGGACAGCATCAATGCAACTCCTTGTGTATGTGGGGCATTTTCTTCATCGTGGCCGGAGTATAACAGCAGCTCCCCTGAAGCTAGTCGTTGTTGTCCAACTTGCGTTTGATGCGTTTCACTGATCCCAAGCACCTCTAAATTGTATCTCCTAATTTCTGCAGCAATTTGGAAAACTCTCCCAGTCTCTCACATTGTACGAGCATTCCATGTACCTAAATAAATGGTTGCTCTGGTTGTTAGAAGGGGCATAGGCCTCGTCGCTTCCGAAGGAACTGGGCTTTCATCATGAGGCGTCCACACACTAAAACTATGATGAACTATCTGCTTATAGAAAATATTCGTTTTTCTCCGACTAACATTGAAATGACTGGTATTATTATTATTATTATTATTATTATTATTATTATTATTATTTACTACGTCATTTATTCACTATCTCCTATTTCTACTTTTTGTATCCGTTTCGACTCAGACAGCAGCTCGCCTATGGTGAAAATTCAGCTTTATCTAAACGTTCTCGAGTCACTGCCTGGTTGAAAATTGTATGTTACTACCGAATATGAGTACTGAAGCAGTTTTTCTGAAACCACGTGCACCATTCAAACTGGCTACCTTCAACGTTCGCACACTTATGCAGGTCGGACAACAGATAGGGCTGGCTATGTCTTCGGAAAGTCTTAATATTGATGTGTGTTGTCTATCCGAGACCCGTATTCAAGACTCTGGTGAAGTACCACAAGTTCGCTCTCCATCTGTCACTTCAAAAAGCTTGTTTTATGTGCGTTTATCCGGGGACCCTGTGGCATCTTCGTCTGGTCTTGCTGGCGTTGGTGTCGCACTAAGCGCAAGAGCTGAGGCAGCACTAGTCGACTGGATCCCCATTAACAGTCGGTTATGTGTTGTTAGATTAGAAAGTTCCATCAAAGTGAGAAGAAATCGGCGTGAGAAACGATGTCTTTTCGTCATCTCCACCTGTGCCCCGACGGATTGCAGCCCGTATGCAATCAAGGATGAGTTCTGCCACCAGTTATCTGTTCTTCTCCAGAAAGTGCGTTCGACAGATATTGTAGTACTAACTGGAGCCTCGAATGCTCAGGTCGGGCGTCTAGGCACAGAAGAGAGTCGTTTAGGTGGCCGATGGGGACTCGTTGGTCGCAGGACAGATAACGGAGAACGTCTACTGCAACTATGCACAGACCACAACCTGTTTCTGGCTAGCACTAACTTTCGGCACAGTCATCGCCGATGTGCCACCTGGCGTCCCCCTTCTGCATCTCAAGCCTGGACTCAGATTGATCACATCGCGATCAGCTACCGCTGGCGCGGTTGTGTACAAGACTGCCGCTCCTTTTGGAGTACCTATCTGGAATCTGATCATCCTCTGGTCTGCGCCAATCTTACCTTACTTTTCAGTGGACAACGAAGTGACCGCCACCAAAGGATTGATGTTAGCAAGCTGGCTGCAACTTCTGTTGCTAGTAAGTACCGAACCGAGCTAGCTTCTAGGCTAGCTACCATTTCACCGATAAGTATAGATGAGCATTGGTTGCAATTGCATGACGCCATGAAAATGGCGGGTCAAGTCAGTTGTGGGTTTGCGAAACGTCCCGCTTACAAGCACTGGGTTTCTTCTGGTTCCTTACAACTGATTGAAGCCCGTCGGTCTACTCCGGGTGACCGTGAGTTTGACCACAGACGAAGGATGTTACGTAATGAAATCGAGCAAAGCTTGCGTAAGGACCGAGAAGCCTGGTGGTCGGAGCGTGCCAGTGAGTTGGAAGCAGCAGCTGCATCTGGTAATTACCGGAAGCTCTTCCAACTCAACCGAGCCACTGGCAGCAAGAAGTTTGGTGTGAGCGAAACAATCTGCGAGGATGACGGAACGCCAATCACTAACATCCATCGACGTCTTGGACGATGGGCAGAATTCTTTGAAGGGCAGTTCAACTGGCCTGCTGCTCCGGCAACATCGGTCAGACTGTCCTGCCCTCCATGGCCGGTGACGACTGATCCATCAAATGAGGCGGAAGTCCGCAAGGAACTCCTACTCTTGAAACGTTACAAATCACCGGGCCCAGACGACTTACCTCCGGCTCTTTTTAAAGATGGTGGTGACTTTTTGACTAAGGGATTGACGACGTTGTTCACAAAGATCTGGGAACTAGAGAGTGTACCAACGTCATGGAATGAGTCGATAGTTGTCCCTATATTTAAAAAGGGTTCACGTTGTTCCTGTAACAACTATCGGGAGATAAGTCTACTTCCGATTGCGTCCAAGCTATTGGCTTCCGTCATACTTCGTAGGTTGTTCAGAACCCGAGAAGGATTGACTCGCGAGGAGCAGGCTGGGTTTCGTTCTGGTCGAGCATGTATTGATCATATCTTCACCCTCAGCCAAATGTTAGAACACCGCCACACTTAACAAAGGCCAACAATCGTAGTGTTTCTTGATATCAGGGCTGCCTTCCATTCGTTGAATAAGACTGTTCTCTGGGATTGTCTATTGAAGAAGGGTGTGCCTGAGAAGTTTATTAACATCCTAAAAGCCCTATATATAAACACCTCAGGCAGAGTGAGGGCATACAACCACCTTTCTCCACTATTCCATTCGAGCAGTGGGGTTAGGCAGGGTTGCCCAATCTCACCATTCCTCTTCAACTTTGCCATCGATGACATTCTGGAAACAGCTCTGACGGATGTAAGTAATGGTAGTGTGGATCTGTTGCCTGGAGAAAGACTTCTCGACCTTGAGTATGCGGATGATATTGTCTTACTGTGCGAGAATGCCCAAGCCATGTAATCCGCACTTAATCAGTTGGCAATCAGTGTCCGTAGGTATGGTATGTGCTTTACACCTTCGAAGTGCAAAGTTCTTCTACAAGACTGGCAGGATTCTAATCCTGTACTCACTCTGGATGGTGAGCAGATAGAAGTAGTCGAGAAGTTCGTGTATCTAGGTAGCTGCGTAAGTGCTGGTGGTGGCTTAAGTGATGAGATCAATGCATGTATAGTGAAAGCCAGAGCGGCTTATGCCAATCTGGGCCATCTTTGGCGCCTTCGTGATGTTAGTCTGGCTGTAAAAGGTTGGATCTACAACGCGACGGTGAGAGCAGTTTTGCTCTATGCTTGTGAAACCTGGCCTCTCCGAGTTGAGGATGTTAGACGACTCTCTGTGTTCGATCATCGTTGTCTCCGAAGGATTGCTGGCATCCAGTTGCAACACCATGTCAGTAATGCAGAGGTTCGGCATCGAGTGTTCGGTCACAGAGACGATAATACAAATGGTGTCACGATCTTGAAACACCGACTTCAGTGGCTTGGACATGTTCTACGAATGTCGTACCAGAGAATTCCACGTCGTGCATTATTTGCCGACTCTGGGACTGGTTGGAAAAAGCAGAGAGGTGGTCAGTATATGCTATGGTGTCGTGGTATGAAAGAAAGCTGCAAAGGGCTAGCTTCTGTTGGTCCTTCACGACTCCCTGGTTGGGGTCCGAGAGACGGTGTAACGCAGTGGCTAGAGACGTTATCAGATATGGCTCAGAATAGAAGCCAGTGGCGATCGTGCTGTAACCTTCTTTTACTTTCTTCATAAAAAGTAGTTGTATCTTCCTTAACTGAAAGATCTCTTCTGATTGTACCTTTCCGTTTCTCCCACCATTGTTCTCTCTCTCCCATTTTTTTTATAATTCCCCACGATCATTACTTTTTTTTTCTCTTTTCTCCTTCTCTTCAAATTATCATTGTTTTGTGTGGCGCATATATATTTGGTGCCCCCCTGTACCAATATTTATGTGTTCAAATAAATAATAAATAAATGAGGCGTCATAATTCTTCTAAACGAAGACCTCCTGACTCCCAGGGCAGAGTTTAAATGGTTTGAATAATTTTTTTTGGTTAGCGTTTTTTTAGCGAGTTAGTTTTCTACAGGATGGGGTCGCTAACTCCATGCCCAACCCTCTTTTATCCGGGCTTGGGATCGGCAGTAGCCCCCCGAAAGGGACTCCAGGCGGAGTTATGTTTGAAAGATAAAATGAATTAATTTTATCTCGCTGCTTTGCTCTCAGCTACACACAAGCAACTTAAACTAATCCACGTGTATACTAGGTTCTACGTTGCTTATGATCCACATATAAGCCAATAAGTTTAGTTCTTTATATAAACGATGCGTACAATATATTCATATCAACATTTAGATGTATGAGAAACTAAAATCTGATAGTTTTATTTTCTGCTTGTTACTAAAAATTTGCATAGGCAGTGGATGCATACTTTTCAAAAATTGAAAGTCAGAAAACATTAGAACAAATTTCACGAAATGTAAGTTTTTATTTTGCTTCACGGAGTTCTTCATTTCTTCTCTCTCTCCGTATATATATATATATATATATATATATATATATATATATATATATATATATATATATATATATATATATATATATATATATATATATATGTATACCATGATCTTGTCTCCATTATTTCTTTGACTCTCACCTGAGCCTACAGTATTAATAATGAGTTTCATATCTTATACCATGAGCTACTTATTTATCTGAACACATCAACATTGGTGCGAATCACCAAATACATATGCGCCACACGAATCATTCGATTTGTGTGAGTGCTGGAATACTGCCCGGGCGCCGAAATCAAGCAGGTGGTTATCTGAGAGGCCACTCCCCGAGCCTTTGATTTGGAGGTCTAATCCACAATGCAGTGGAGAAACGTTAGGAGATGCAGTCCCATGGAGCTGGTGACCAACAACTGGTTCGTGCGCCGTTCTTCTCCCAGGATACTGGAGCCCATGTGCACCATTGGTTTGAAATAAAGATTTTCCAACTCCCCTATGTGGATCCTCCATATCCACCAATCTGGTTAAAGTGCCAAACATTCGCTTTTCTTCTTAATTTTGTAAAACTCTTATAATGATGGATAGTTGGATACAATCAGCAAGATATCCTGGACTGATGTGTCAAATTTGTTGGGACCTATCAGGAAGGTATATCAGGTAAATATATGTATATGATACTAATATTGTGGTGTGCGCTACTAACATGGACAGATATGAGTAGTAGGTAACTGGAACTGAAAATGGAATGCTTACCAGCAGAAGAATGAAATGAAGAGAAGAGGAAGAAAAACAAGAAAGCCATCATAGTAACAACAGGATTGGAACAATGATGGAGTATGCAAAGGACAACTCATGAATGATGAGCAAATGATGTATATATATATATATATATATATATATATATATATATATATATATATATATATACAAAAGCATTGTGTGATCTGGCACCCCACCCAAGTTTTCGTCCATTGCAGTATCACCAATTAATTTACTTCACTTTCTTTTCGGACATCGTAGTTGGACGTAGAACGTAATTTCAAAATATTGTCCAAGGAATAAATTATATTCGATAATTTCTTACACTTCTTCAATATTTAGTATATATCTCCACAAAAAATATTCTGTTTTCTATTAATTGACCCATTATTGCTTATAATGCATCAAATTCCGCTACTTAACTACTAGTCTTTTTATTTTTAGGAACAAAAGGCTAGTAGAAAAGTTGAAAATATTAAAAAAGATCAGGAACGGCGTTTACTGTTACTAAAAACTGAACAAGTAAGTTGAAATTTAAATTATGAGACTAATAGACTACATGATTATTATTACTACGTTTACTGTAGTTTGATATCCTTACTGGGTTGAAATTTCTAAGTTGTAATAGGATAGATTGATTTTCCATAAAAAATCAGTAATTCCCCTCCGTATAATTATTCGTTAAATCACCTTAAGAAATATGCTATTATGGACAAACCATTTACATAAAAAATGTTAAAGATGATATAATAATAATAATTATTATTATTTCATGGATTTATCAAGCAATCTTGACTATCGATATGTTCCCAGAACATAAAGGTTTTCTTCATCTAGTTACAATTTTAATGCTTACAAATGTATTAATGTTTTGCTTTTCACCGTTGCAGATTAAATTCTCATGCAACTGTTAGTGCAAAAATCTAAAGGAGATTCTTTTCATTTTTCTTTTTTGGGATATATAAATTATGAAGTTTCTCTGACCCAACTCATCACTTTTAGTTGCTGTCTTATTCATTTCCCTAAACTCCAGGTAGATATTCTTTGACGATTCTCATTAATTGTCTTAAGTTATTCTTTGTTTAATCTCTTTATTCCGTATACTTAGTATTTTAATGGATAAAAGGTATTAAAAAATATGTTATATTATTCTCTAGTTAAAGGATCCCATTTGTGTACCAGTCGTTCGTCATAAACTCGGGTGATGTTAATTCCGACTACAAACGTGGTTTACTGTAACTATAAAAATTTTGTTTCCACGGTTGACTATACGGTACATTTATGGTGAGAGGTTATTCTAGTCTTCTCGTTACCAGCTGCCACTTTGAGTTTCATCTGACAACCTTACTATGTGGAGTCTGCTTGAATTGTTCACCATAGCTTGTTCCTTTAATAACCTTTATCTCGTATCCCGTTTTTCTTTCTTATTCAGGAGTTAGATATGCGAAAGGCCTACCTGCTTGAAGCTAATCGTCGGCTTGTAAGTTTCTTCTTTTGCTTTTAATGCCCATCTCTAATTTAGAAAATAATATTATTGCTTGATTAGCAAGCAAAGCAACAAATATCAAATTCATATTCAGTTTGCTGACTTTTTAAAACTTGCTAATTTATTCATTAATTAATCATCTGTTATAATTAAGAAGATATTAACTACTTTTCTACCTACGTTTTGTACATCCTACTCACAACTGAATATAGTAAGGATTGTTTTCCTCCCACTTAAGTTGGTTCTGCATTTTACATATAAATTCACACAATACTAAGTAAATCCAAAGCAAAACTAATTAACTGTATATCACTTCGATTTCTAAAATAATTGTAATGCCGATTTTGAGTGGTTGTATTTCATTTCTTTCTTCAGGTTGACAATATTATTATCATGATCAATCACGCATTATCAAATCAAATAGATTGGAAAGAATTAGAATCAATCGTTGAAGAAGCAAAACAACGTGATGATCCACTTGCCTGTCATATTGTCGAGTTAAAATTACAAACAAGTCAGGCTGTCATACGTTTAAAGTAGTTTATTATTGCATTTTGTTCCCCTCGATTGTTTGTATCTAACTTTTCATACTCGAAAAATTTCACCTCATTTATTTCAGAGACCCTTTTGAAAGTTCAAGCGATGTTGAAGAAACCTTAGTGAGATCAGGCAAGAAAGATGAATATACAGAAGTAGTTGTAGATATAGACGTCAATGCTCTAACCAATGCACGAAAGTAAGTTAACTAGTTCTTTGATAAGACAGTATCTCTCCTAGCCTCAGACAAGTCAGTCAGTCAGCTGCAACGTAGGACCAGGCACGTATATGCATCGGTCCAAGTTGCCATACCGCATTAGCACAACAAGATGAACACCGGATTCATAGAAGTAGTTAATTAAATGGTGTTAATATATAAAAGAAAGATTGCATATAAAGAGATAGTACAGGAAGAAAGAATTCGTTCGTAGAAAGAAAGATATGAAGCGATTTTAATCTCTTAGTTTAAAGGAAGATAGAGAGTGTATACACCGACGCCATTGTGATCGATTCTGAGCCATGTCACCAAGAGTCTCCAACCATTGGTTACGATAGTCACGCGGACACCAACCAGGTAGTCTGCATCTACCAACATGACTCAAACCAGAAGTTAGTGTCTTCAAGCACTGATATCACGTTTTGGTTTGGCCGCCCCTAACTTTCTTCCAATTATCCCTAACACCAGTGAACATTGCGCGCCGTGGTAATCGGTGTTCAGGCATACGCAACACGTGGCCCAACCATCTCAGTCGATGAAGATTCATAACCTTATCAACTGATTTACCATCATCTCCTAATAACCTACGTCTAACCTCACTATTACTTACCCGGTGATCCCAGCAGATGCGAGCAATATTTCTAAGGCATCTGTGGTCAAATACTAGTAACTTACGAGTATCTTCTACTCTTAAAGGCCAAGTTTCGCAGCCGTATAGTAGAACGGAACGAACTGCCGCGCAGTATACTCGTCCCTTAATTGATAGACGGATATCTCGCCTTCGCCATAGATGACGTAAGTTGGCAAAGGCCAAACGAGCTTTTCGAATCCGTGCTGAGATTTCGTCAGTATGCCTGTGTTCTAGAACCTGACGAACGGTGAATATGTGGTCTATACATCCACGACCAGGTCTGAAGCCAGCTTGATTCTCTCGTGTTTGCAGTTCACGAGTCTTAGTTAGGCGTCCGAAAATTATCGAGGCTAGTATTTTAGATATTATATTAGTTAAACTAATCCCTCTATGGTTGTCACAGGATGATTTTGACCCTTTCTTATATATTGGGACGTTAAGTGATTGTGACCAGTAAGAGGGGATTGTGTCCAACTCCCAGACATTAGCTAAAATATTAGTCAACCTAATCTCTAAAACTAGACCACCATCCTTAAAGACCTCTGGAGCCAATCCATCTTGACCAGCTGCCCTTCCTCGTTTTAGATTAACTATATCCTACTTCAATGTTCCATTCATACTGTCTGGGAATGGAGGGTAGTTATAGAGTAGCTGAAGGTCAACTGAACTGCTCCTTAAAGTGTTCCGCCCATCGTTCTAAACTTCTGGACTGGGAGAAGATAAGAACGTCGTCTTTTTCCGAGACAGTCTCACTTACAGCTGATATTTTAGTCCCAGTTTCTTTTGTGAGTCTGAAGAGCTGTCTTGTGTTCCCTATAGCCGCCGCCTTTTCCATCTCTTTTGCTTTCGTTGCCCACCACTGCTCACGATCATTCCTTAGACTTTTGGTTAACCTAGATCTGACTTGCTTTCGCTCCTCATCGTGTTCAGATCCTGATGGGATGAGTTTACGAGAGTCTATCAGTGCAATAGACCTTGAAGAAATCCATTGGTTCTTTGTAACCCTGTGGTCTAAATCACTAGTAGATGTCACTGCTGTTTCCACAGCTGATTGTATAACTTTCCAAGCAACATCTGGGTCAGCCTCGTTTTCAGAACTACATAAGTGTGACCTCAGTTGTTCTTGGAACCTATTTTTGCTTTTCTCGTTACTCTTTTCAGTCCTAATGGGTCTTTTTAATGTGGCTTTTTTTGCGTCCAGTGAGGCGCAAGCAGATGTGTGCTCGTATTAGTGCGTGGTCGGAGTCCAAACAGGTACTCCAGAATGAGCGGCAATATTCTATCGACCCTCTCTAACAATGACTGATGACAATATGGTCTATTTGAGTCCATCGTTGGTTTGGTGCAGGGGGTCGCCATGTTAGACGATGTTCTCTCCTTATGCTTAAAATTTGTGTTTGCTAAAAATAAATGATTGTCTGAGCACAGTTGCAGCAGACGATCACCATTATCTGTTCGCTGTGCCGGAATACTAAAATACCCACCTAAATGTCTTTCTGTTTGATTTAAGCTGCCTACCGGAACATTAAAGTCACCTGCTACGAGTACTATGTCTGAGCGTTTAGCTTTCTGAAGAAGTTCAGAGAGTTTTCTGTAAAATTCATCTTTCACTTCATCCGAGCTGCAGTCAGTGGAAGCGTAGGCAGAAACGACGAAAAGGCAACGACGTGTGTCCCTATCCTTTCGAGTTCTTACGGAGCCGTTTAGCCGAACAGCGTATAGACGACTGTTAACGGGGATCCATTCTAATAGCGCTTGTTCCGCCCTCATGCTTAGTGCTATGCCTACACCTGCCAGTCCACGAGAACTAGCCATCGGGTCGCCAGTTAAACGGAGGGTGTATCTCGTCGGCTCTCAGTTTTGCCGAGGTGAGGTCAAGTGAATGACGACACTATGATCCTGTATGCGTGTTTCAGAGACACAGCATACATCAATGGTACGAGATTCTAGGGTTTTAGCCAAGGAAGCCTGCTGACCGATTTGGCATAGTGTGCGTACGTTGAAGGTTCCAATGTGTACTTTGGAGCGAGGCTTCAGTAGACCTGGGACAGCGTTTTGAGCACTAGGATCGTTGGCTATGGTGATACTTGAGGAGTCAAGTAGTGAAACAGTGTTCATTCCATATACTTCCCTAAAGTGTTATTTAGTGGGACAGTTTCGCATGCTCATTTATGGCTTTTTAATATTAATAGTGGTTACTAACGTAGGAGAATGATGAAAGAAGGAAAAAAGTAGCCAAATAAATACATAGTATCAGTTCATAAAGTTACTTAATATACATATTACTATTTTTCATGCGTTTTAGTAGTGAATGTTATCACCACAATTTTTTATACGTTCCACATTTCTTCTTTTTTCCAGATATTATGATAAGAAACGAGCTGCTAGTAAAAAAGAAGAAAAAACTATCAGCGTTTCGCGCAAAGTAATAAAACTTTACCATTGTTTTCTTCTTTAATCTTATTGTCAATGATTGTGCAACGTAAGCTGTGAACTAAATCTTGGAGTATAATGATATCATGCTTTGCGTTAGTTATCATGTGTAGTTGTCGAGAAAAATATTTCTTTTCAGTTTCATAGCCTTAGTAGTGGTTTTAAAGACTGAAGGGGGATTTTTAGTAAACAATAAACAGCTGATAATAGTCTATTACTTTAAACTGTACCTGGGGTATGCATTATAATCAGACTTAATGTCACAGATGTATTCATTTTTCTATTCTCTTATACATCTTTAGATTAGTACTTTTCTATTTTTATTTCCGTATTTCCTCTATAGACTTGTGAACTATTCCCTGTATTTATTTTACACCATTGTCACTATTATTACTTCGACATTTTTTGCTTTTCAATCCATTAATATCCTCTCCTTATGATCCTTTGAAATATAGCAACTGAGATTGATTTATATTTGTGCCAAGTTTCCTACCGTTTTGTAATTAAGTAAATGATATTACTCACAATCATACTAAAGGTACTAGCCGTTGTGGCTTTGTTTTTAAAGTACTTTGCTTATCACCATTGGGTCGTTGATTCAAAATAATCTGCTTTTAGCAGCTTGGTATTGTTATTAGCTTTCACGCGTATAATGTAGCTCAAAACCTAATACAAATTTGTTCAAAACAACTAATTTTGATGATGGTTCCAAACAATGGCTTCATTTAATTAAGTTTACTTTGATTTCATCATCCTTCCCATATTTATTATTCGTTGACATTTTAGTCATTAGTTACTGTGCTTGGCATCACTTTTGCCTTGAATTTCTAGGTAAATATACTTTAACATCCCAAACCATTTGCATTAGCGTAAATGTAATAATTCGACCAGATGGAATCTAAGTTGCCTCAGATTTGAATGCAGCTGGAAAAAGAAATACATTCTAATTGTGTGGTGAAATAGTTATTCATGTCAATATGTCTTGAAAAAATCAGATATTCATCTGACTGTATGTACAACAGACTAAAGAGTTAATTGTAATTTGTTTACGATGCATTACTCTGTATGATCGCTGTACCCCAATCGACCCATTAGCCAATTATAACTTCTTATTTAAATAAATATAAAGTATCTTTACCTAAACTGTCTTCAACAGGTCTTGAAATCGGCCATACACAATGCTGAAATGAAAATGAAAACCGCTAAAACTGTTGCACAAATTACAGAAGTTCGTAAACCAATGTGGTATGTTTATCTATACGCAATGACTAAGCTTAATGCTTCCCCCTCCCTAATATCTACAGATACGTTCGTTTTATGCATTTTTGTAAAATGTTTTTGATATTTCTCAAATGAAGTGTCTTGTTCCAGATGCTCGCAGTTAATTATCACGATTAGTTCCGTTCTCCCTGGACCTAACACTTCTCAATACAATCATTTGATGTTATAAGTTGATATTAATTTCATGCACTGTGAATTATTTTGTAACGAGTTTCTGTATAACGACAGCCAATTATAGTTAATAATAACATGTATGAGATCAAAGATACATTGGGACAAAGTTGAGCCTTATCTGTTACATCCTTCAATATGACACGTTAATTAAATTTAGGAGCTTTCTATAACTCTGACTACTATGAACGATGAACGACAGATGGCTCCTTTTTTACACCCAACTTTAGTCTGTCTAGAAGCCTAAAGTTGACTCCTTTAACTGAGGCTTTTAATTATCCTACAACGTTATACCTGTTCCGGTCACAGCTCTGAAATCCTGTTTTGGACATGTGTTACTACCCTCTTTGCTACACAATCCGAAATACCAACATAACAGTAAACGTAAGGGTAATCGCAACTACTTTTCAACACTATGGTCTCAATACTATCGACTTCGCCTTCAACTAATTGGAATACAAAGTCTAACCTATGACTGCAAAGACTATATATTTTCTGAAAGAAATAGTGCTTCATACACAGATTTTTTCAGTGATTGGCTACTACATTTCAATAATTATAATTTGGTCGATTTTATAATGAATAAATATCAATACTAAGTGATTAACAGCTAGATTTGTAAACGTAAACTGGTGTTGATCTACTTTTGTATGCTAAACTTTAAGATGTCGTCTAAAACGTGATTAAACGCAATTGTTATCAACATCTACGTGACTTCGAACTGCACATTATGTTTTTCGTTGAGGAATTCACTGAATTTGCTGTTACTACCTTCAGTGGTTCACTTTCGAGCGTATGTGGTGATTTCAATTTATGTGATTGTAGCTTTCATCACCAGGTCACCAAAATGTAATAGATTTTTCCACTTATTCGGATGCCCATTTAGACTAAGTTTTCATTATTGATGTGGGAACATATGTGACTCGTAAACGTTCTACATTGTCTAGTCCTAATCATTGTATAATTCGTGTTCTATCTAAAGTGTATTGCAAACTTAGAAAGAATTCACTCTTACATCAGACAACGAAAGTCAAATACACAAACTACTTAGAAGAAAATATCAAAAATCTGAAAAACTTGTTTCGTACGATTAACTGGAGATTATTTACAGATGACTCACTGAAAAATACTGTTGATCATATGGCTTTTTATCTTAAATTTTGTTTTGATATTTGCTGTTCCACTGAAACTGTTTTTGTAAGTTTCTATCAACTTACATCACAACTAAAACGATTACGGAGGGTAAAAGAAAGAATACACAAGTTCAGAAGCTAAATGGTCTAATAAACCTAGAGATAAGACGTCTGAACTCAATGTCTACTCGGAAACTCCTATTTTGTAAAAGCTCTCCAATTATGTGTAAACTATCTAAAGAGCTTACAGGTGAAAGACACATAAGAAGCGACAACCAGTGGTATGTTTATGACTTAAAGAAGTTTTCGTACGTCACTCATCTGATGTCATGCTTCCTATATCCACAGGTTCGAAGAATAGTAATGTTCTGATTTTCACTGAAACTGATGTCCGAAAATTTCTCCAATCACTTAAATCGTCCTAATGTTTAGGACTTCATGAATTCCAAAACTTCTTTTTAAAGGCATACTGACGTTCTGTGTTATCTATTCACAAGCATCTTCAACAGATCCTCAAATAATCTCATTCTAAAAGTGTGGAGAAAAGATAAAGATAATCCCGATACCTAAAAAAGTGTCTTGCGATAAGAAGGTGAAACTTAGACCCATATCAATAAATTCACCTTTTCTCAAAACAATGGAGAAATTATTGCTACTCCCCCTTCAAACTGTACTAAAAGAGCTAATTGATCCGTATCAGTTTACATACAAATGCAAAGGAAGCACCTTAGATGCTGTTGTTGTTCTGCATCAAAATATAGTGTTCAACTTCGAAAAGGGTAAGAAGTATCTTCGATGCGCTCTTCTGGACTGTATCTTTGGCTTTTGGTTCTATCGGGGAATAAGTCTACTTCCGATTGCGTCCAAGCTATTGGCTTCCGTCATACTTCGTAGGTTGTTCAGAACCCGAGAAGGATTGACTCGCGAGGAGCAGGCTGGGTTTCGTTCTGGTCGAGCATGTATTGATCATATCTTCACCCTCAGCCAAATGTTAGAACACCGCCACACTTAACAAAGGCCAACAATCGTAGTGTTTCTTGATATCAGGGCTGCCTTCCATTCGTTGAATAAGACTGTTCTCTGGGATTGTCTATTGAAGAAGGGTGTGCCTGAGAAGTTTATTAACATCCTAAAAGCCCTATATATAAACACCTCAGGCAGAGTGAGGGCATACAACCACCTTTCTCCACTATTCCATTCGAGCAGTGGGGTTAGGCAGGGTTGCCCAATCTCACCATTCCTCTTCAACTTTGCCATCGATGACATTCTGGAAACAGCTCTGACGGATGTAAGTAATGGTAGTGTGGATCTGTTGCCTGGAGAAAGACTTCTCGACCTTGAGTATGCGGATGATATTGTCTTACTGTGCGAGAATGCCCAAGCCATGTAATCCGCACTTAATCAGTTGGCAATCAGTGTCCGTAGGTATGGTATGTGCTTTACACCTTCGAAGTGCAAAGTTCTTCTACAAGACTGGCAGGATTCTAATCCTGTACTCACTCTGGATGGTGAGCAGATAGAAGTAGTCGAGAAGTTCGTGTATCTAGGTAGCTGCGTAAGTGCTGGTGGTGGCTTAAGTGATGAGATCAATGCATGTATAGTGAAAGCCAGAGCGGCTTATGCCAATCTGGGCCATCTTTAGCGCCTTCGTGATGTTAGTCTGGCTGTAAAAGGTTGGATCTACAACGCGACGGTGAGAGCAGTTTTGCTCCATGTTTGTGAAACCTGGCCTCTCCGAGTTGAGGATGTTAGACGACTCTCTGTGTTCGATCATCGTTGTCTCCGAAGGATTGCTGACATTCAGTGGCAACCCCATGTTAGTAATGCAAAAGAAACTTTCTGAAATACCTTATGCTGAAAATTCTATATTGTACCGAAAATATAATATTGAATAAAGCCATTAATTATAACAATATAATGTAATAGCGTACTGAAGTAATTGATAAATGAGTTTGTGAAAATATAATCGTATTTTAAAGTGAACGGTTATTGTTTCAAATTAATCCACGACCTTTATTTTTGGCCGCTTTTAATCAGTACACTGTGTCTTCGAAACCCACATAAAAATACTAAGTGTATGCATTCACTTGACACCAATTAAAAAGTATGGTATGCCAGTACAGTTGTTCAAGTTTAAGTGGAGGAAGCTAATAATTGAGTGCCTAGACTGCTGATTCAATCCTGTAATTTAGAGATTGATGTATAGTTCAAATTACTAGGTGTTTTCATTCTTTATTGACTTCAATTTACGGGAAAATTATTACATTTTTGTTATGCATCCACACATTTCACTAAAGTTTTGTTTATTTTACAAGGTTTGAAAAATTCTTCTGGTTTATCAGTTCAGAAAATTACTTGGTTGTTGCTGGTCATGATTCACAACAAAATGAAGTATTGGTAAAACGTTACTTAAAACCGGGCGATATATTTGTTCATGCAGATATACATGGTGCTAGCACTGTTATAATAAAGGCCCGACATTTAACTTCTGAAGAGGTAGATTCTTCGAACCGTCAGGGTAAGTTAAAGTAGAATAGTGGGTTAGTGATTAAAGTTATCGACTTTTAACCATATGGGTACCCAGTTCAAACTCCTCTCCACCTAATTCGCTCCAGCTAGCAGGGTAGCATCATTAATTCTCATATCTAATATATAACTCTAACCCGAGTACATAAACATGTAATCGGCAAATGAGTTATATTATTTTAACTTACTATTTTAAATTAAAGCATGGTTACTACATTATGCCCCCAAATGCCCTGGTACGGCCGAGAGTGGGGAGAGTCCGCTCTCACATGGCCACGCGTATATAGCCCCTGCCAGGGAAGTCCTACTCACTGCCTTCTCGCACCACGGGTGTTGTTTACGAAAATGAGAGGACGAAAAGCGAATGTCCGGCGCTTTAACCGGATCCCAAACCAATGGTGCACATGGGCTCCAGTACCCTGAAGGAACAAATGGCGTATGAACCAATCGTTGGTCACCGGCTACCATGGGACTGCATCTCCTCACGATGCTCCACTGCCTTGTGGGTCAGACGTCTAGGTCGAAGGCTCGGGGTGTGGCCCCCTAAGAAAACCACCTGCTTCGGTTTGGGCACCCGGGCAGTATCACAGCCCTCACACAAATCAATTGCGATTCGTGTGGCGCATATGTATTTGGTGCCTCCTTGTAACAATACCTATGTGTTAAAATAAAATAAATAATAAAATACTACATTATACTTATGATTATAGCCTTTATAGGTACGTCCATAGTGATTTCCTCTACTTCATAAAGTTTGTATGCTTTCAACTATATATTTCCATAACATTCGAAGTCGTACGTCAGTACACTTCTAGGTTGCTCATTGGTTATCTCAATAAGATTAAATATCACTAATGTGTTACAACAAAAATAAGAGTTTCAACCTGGTTTAGAAATACGAACGATCTCAATATTCATTATGTGAAACTCATCCTCTAATTTGAATTTCGGGTCATTCGCATGACACATGAATAACTTGACTAAAATGAAAAGAAAGACAATCGCACCGGAAAATTTATCGCTTACATCTGCTCATAATGATAATACTATGAGTATCGGAATTCCACTCCACAATCTTTAGTTCGAGCGACGACGTAGTATCGCCATCATCCACACTAATAATGTGGCTGAAGGATAATCACATAAAACCGTGCACCTAGTGAATTACATTTTCAGTTGAAGTCTTGTATATGCTCCCTAACTTGCTAGCTGATTAACGGTTGTTTGATATGTTAAAGTAGTGAGAGCAACACCAACCCGAAATAAATTAAATTATAAAATCAGTAGTTCAAGAATTTACTTTTTTATTACATTATAGATGTTTTCAACTCATTTATGTTAGTTTTATTAATCTTAACTTATTAACGGTTGGTACTCCAAATCGAGATTTGTCATTCCATGTTTTGGTCTGTACACTGCTTTAGAGGGTTTCTTTCTGTAACCGATTTATCAAGTACATGTTTTATGTACTCGATTTTGGCTCAATCTAGATACGCGGTCTAGTAATAGTAATACTAAACGGTTACTCAAACCGAAAAAGCTTGTCTTGAGTTTGAACTTTAAACGTGTCAGTTCAAACGTTGATGCATTTTCCACTCAGGTATGCTTCATAGGGAGATGAAATGCTAATAATAATAAGAATAATAACAAATTCGTTGTGCAGTGTTTCTGACTTATCGACATTTATGGGAATGAACCTAGTCATTCAATTCAGTCACAGATATTCTTACTATACTTTCGTTTTACCCTTACCATATAACAGTTTATCAGTATACCTGTATCTTCCTACTAACTAAAACAGATAATCAAACTCATTTTCTAAATTTTTTATGTAGACCTATTGCATCAACACAGTTTACCACTACCCCCTCCAAAAACCTTGTTAGAAGCCGGAAATATGGCGGTAGTATTAAGTTCTGCATGGCAAAGTCATGTTCTAACAAGAGCTTGGTGGGTCCATCATGATCAAGTTTCAAAAACAGCTCCAAGTGGTGAATACCTTACATCTGGTGCATTTATGATACGTGGGAAGAAAAACTATTTACCTCCATGTCCCTTCGATTATGGATTTGGAATTATGTTTAAGGTAAAAGTTTACGTTTCTGTACTTAAAATAGCTAGAATAAAAAGACTCGTAGAACAATAGGAATTTATTTTATTCGAAGGGTGCCTATTAGATTTACAGACGACTTTAACTTTTTAGCCATAAATAGGGTTGAACATGAAAGTTTTTGTATTGTTATCATTAAAGTTGCAACGATAGTTCAAAAAACGAAACACAAAAGTGATACTATATTGAAGTCGACATGAATATGTTTATTTCTTTGTGAAATAGCTGTTTTTATAAAATCAAAGTGTTTTGGGTCAGGAATAATAATAAATCTAATGATTACGTCGTAAAATAGCATAATTAGAATAAAACTAATCCAATATATGAAAGACACACAAATTTGACCACTTTATTTTTTTGAGGTGTTTCGACACTTCTGAAGAAGGTTTTCGTTTCGTCTATATATATATATATATATATATATATATATATATATATATATATATATATATATATATATATATATAGGAAATGTAGCGTTCTGTTGGTAACTCGAATTAAAACTCATACCTACTGGACAAGTGAATGACTATCTGGACTCAGTAGCTTAGTGGATGACGCGATGGCGTTTGATGTGAATGGTACTGGCTTCTTGTCTTGAAGTGAACAACTCTAAAATCCAGGTAGGTACACCCAGTTAACAAGTCTCAATTAGGGCAAAATGTGCATCCTATATTCCATTGGTGGTCACATTTCATCTATTCTCTATCAAAAGTTTGTAGTCCTTGTGGTTTTATCCTTTATAACTGTAAAGTACTTTAAATGGGCCAGATAAATTATCTTTTGTTGCAACTCATTGAAATACTTTTCTCCATATGTTTTACGATTTCAGTTACATGAGGATTCTATAGCTAAACATAAAGGAGAGCGTCGCATCATCATTATAGACACTCCATCTTATGAAGTGCCCGTTAATCAGTTCGAATTGTTAATTATCCAGAATAATGAGAAAACTACAGAATTTCCTGATGCCCTTCTTCAACTTGATTTAGCAAATGATCTTCCCAGGTATTGAAAATGAGTGTGGCTATTTTCGCTGATCTATTATGGTGTTCAGATCTTATATTCTTACAAGCTAAACTTATTTCGTTACTAACAATATCTTCAGTGTTTTTCTTTTTTTGGTATTTATCGCTATTATACTTTATATTGATCGTTGCTTTTGATCTTAAATTTCTCAAATTTTGTTCTCATATCAACTTACTGTATATGCATAATCTACCCTTAATAGATAAAATCACTTACTGATAACTCTCCAAAATGACTTGGAGAAAGAAAACTAAAAGTGTTTGAGATGTGTTTTTCATTTGACTAAGTGGGTACTAACGGTTTAAGGATCGACTTGTAAAGTTGATTAGTGTTTCACCCAAGGAATATGGTAGTTTGGGTTGACGTAGAAGATTGATCAATAGTGGTATTCTTTTGATCTATATGAAATTTCTGGTTGGATTTCTTTTAGTGATGGAATCTAAGCGTTTTACTTACGTAGTACCTAACTGTGAAAACTCTTTATACCTCAAAAATATTTCATTATTTTCCGTTCATATTCACGTCCTTATTGTTTTCATTGTTCAATTTGTCTTTTTAGATTCCCCTTTTTATGTGATGTATTTAACGTCGGCCACAACTAGGTCATGTAGTATTCTTTGATAGTCAATCTGTTCATGATTCACTTAGTTGTCTACTTAATAAGTAGAAACTAGCTCTCGATATACAAAACTCCTAAACACTAGTATTCCTTCATGAATTAATCCGTCAATTTTCTCGGTAACTGGGTAGTCGGGCTCATTTGTAACATTATTTGCTGCTACCTAATGATTACACTTAAAACCTGGTACACAAATATATATGTGGTTCCTGATAGGTTTCTAGTAACTAGAAAATTAGTTCATACTCAAAATTTTTAATATATAAACTGAAATCTTTTTTCATGTCACTACTTCTTAAAATTTTGTTTTCTCTGAACCGTATTTAAAAATGACCTTGATTGTTATATTTTGATTCAGACATAAAGATCCTGATGTATCGGAAATTTTATCGGAAAATCCTTTTAAAAAAGTTAAGACAAAAGGTCAAAAGGTTGAAAAATCGAAACCAACCAGGAAAACAACAAATTTAAATAAAGAAACCGTTGAAGCAAACAAGAAACTCAATGAACCATTACTGCCATCGGCTGGCCAGCCGGTTTTAAAACGTGGTCAGAAAGCTAAGCTAAGAAAAATTAAACAAAAATACAAAGAACAGGATGATGAAGAAAGAAATCTTCGTATGAAAATACTTCAGGTAAAAAAAATCATATTACATGGAATTTTCATAATGATCTTCCTTAAATATCGTTCGGTATTTTTATTACAGCACTGGCACGTTTTTAACACCTCTTTTGAATGCTTCATTCTAAACTACGGTTTTATTTTTATTTATGGTTGTCAATTAAATTCTAAGTCATACAAACCTTTAAGGCATTTCATTAATTACACCGTCAAAGCGTCACTCATATGTGACATCCCAGATACATATGTTGTTTATATTTTCAAAAATATCTTAACAATATTCATTCCAAATCAATTTTCTTCAACACTTACTACTGTTTTCATGTTGATCCATCCTCGTCCCTCTATCTGCAAATTAATTTGACAGTCATTATCCGAAACACTAAATTATTTATTGCACTAACATTTATTTTCCCCTGTTATTCTGAATACTCAACGAGTTTTGTTGCAGATTGTTCGATTTCACTTAAACGCCATAGCAGACAAAAATTACTCGCAACTGCTGACACCTTAATTGTTGGTATTGTCAGGAAACATAAGTTTATTACATGAGAATGTAATATGTTCTTCCCTAATGTTGTATAATATTTGCCTTATTGAAGACATGTGACGGCAGAGTTATAGATATTCGATCATAATTACGTTCCAAACATTAATGCCGTAAGTTGAACTGAATGTGCAGTTTTAAGGCAAAATTCAGAGCTCTAGGTACATGAGCCAACTCAGTCACTGATATACCATTGTGCCAAATGTGCTGGCTATGATATGTATTACACATTAATAACAACCACTGATATTAGTAGATTGAAAAAGAAATAGGGGTTAAATCACCTCATGGTATCCGCGCACGTTAGTTTGTCAATCATAAGCAACATAGAACCTAACAAATCAATTACTCATACTTTCCGACTGAGGTCCTTTAGAATAAGAAAGATCAGTGGTGGTTCACGAAATTCATCACTACAGGTCGGACGTGTTCATTATTCACTTTTTTAAATTCTGAATATTTTATTCATCGTTTTTCTTGTTTTTCTCTCATTTTACCCCTACCCATTGCCAGCATCTTGAACTTCAGTACTTTTATGTGAAGTTCTACACAGTGTAATCCTCTAATTCATTACAAAATATTCTTGTAAATCAGTATAAATTTTAAACTCCTTAACCTTCTTGTTATTAGTTATACTAATGATAATATATCTGCAGTGTCCATCTCACCAAACTCCATTATATTTATCACAGGGGGACGATGCTAAACCAAGTCATTATCACCAAATTCTTGAACGTGATCACTTTTCAAATTTAATTAAAATCCCACAATCTGTACTGGATACTCAAGTTGTTCACAATTCAGATAGTATACAAAATAATCAACCTGACTGTGATAATAATGAATCATTCAGTAATTCGAGCAGTGAAATCGACAATCATTCTGTCAAATCAGATGAAAGTGAAGAGGGTTCAAAATCTTTAGAAGTTAATCATGTAAAAACTAATGATGATAACGAAGGTACGCCAGTTGAATCGAAAGATGATTTAACTTCGTTGTTAAATTCGTTGACTGGTCAGCCCAATGATGATGATTTACTATTGTATGCTATTCCAGTCTGTGCTCCTTATTCAGTTCTATTAAAGTATAAGTTCAGAGTGAAACTGAACCCAGGAACTACAAAGCGAGGAAAAGGTATGATAAACAACATATGTATATCTGTTCATTGTTTTACAAACTATTTTGCCATCATTGTCTGTTAAAAAGAATGGTTATCAATCCTCAACTAAAATAATTTTTCCAGCTTGGAAATGAATAAAGATTTGAAATTTCATATTCTCCTCGACCAATAATTTCGACTGGTCTTCTCTTACTGCGATACAACGTAATAATTAATGAACTGCCAGCAATTTCATAATGGCATGTGCTAAAGCTCGTTTACTGAGCATCGTTTTCGTGTAAAGAAAAAATTAGAATAGCCTCTATTGGTAGCTTATTAACAGTATGCCTGTATGATGACTTATAATTTATTGAATTGGTTGAGGAACCTGTTAACTAATTGCGCTCCAAATTGCTATTGTTTGGAGTTACTCCGTAACACTAGATGTTCTAGACACTACTGATTCAACTTCTGTCAGGAATTGTAAAATCAGAAGCCAACTACAAAGGTTTATAGGACATTGAATTCCACATAATTAGCGAAACTTGAGACATCACGCACGGCGTAGTCAACAGGAACGACGTGTCTAGTCGCTCTGGTCACGGACAAGCCTAACAAAAATGTACATTCGTCAAGAGTTCGGTTAAATGTCTAAGGGTACATGGAATTAGGCTTCTACAAAGCAAAATGATTTGATAAATTTCAGTTAGTTAAGCAGCTAACTGACATTTACTATGGTTTCATGTTTATGACTAGTATAGAATTTTTTATTTCTTCTATTTGCCTAAAATTAGCATCAAAAATGGCGTTGTTCCAGTTTACGTCGGACAAATCCACAAACAACAGAGAACGAGAATTAATACGTGCAATGAAAGATGAAGAAGTATCGCGTAATTTCCCAGGATGTGTAAAGTTAACGTTATCTCAAGTTAAGCCCTCACGAAAAAAATAAAACGTATTTTCTCTTCACTTTATGTTTTTTCAAGTCTAATTGTGATTTTTTCTTAAACCCTAATTACTCCCTGATATTCTTAACCATACCGAACACGATCTTGCTTGTAACTACCATTACTTTCCCCCTTGACTTCCAAGTGTTTTTGAAAAGTCTTACCAGAAAGCTTCCCTATTTTCTCTAAATGTATGAACATTTCCACTTGTAGTTACGTCTTTTCTAATCAAGAATTTAAAAAATTGTTAATCTGTTTGACGTTGGTGGTAACTGTAATTTGTCACAAACTAACTGACAAACAATCACGAATATACGGAGATTAGAATTATACATAACGACGTCTTTTTAAGTCCCTGAACCTCGCAAACTAGTATTCTTACAATTTCACACGGACGTAATTCATGTTCATAAGCTATAAATGAAAGTTTTAAACTTGATTTCTTGCTTTTACCAAGGCATCAGTAAACTCACTTACCAATGAATATTTAAACATCCATCTAGACACTATTGTTAAGATTATTATTGCTAAGCTGTTATAGTCGTCGTTGCTTTGTTAAACTGTATTTAGTGTATCAATCAAGTAGTGGTAACTGATGTCATCAAGTATACTGAACTATTTCACCAGATGATTTTGACCGGCTTTTAGGGGCAAAGCAAATCATTTTCGTTTGAGGTAGTGTATACTTGTTGTTTTAGCTTCTTAATCATAATAGTTATAGAAATTGTTCCATGAAATACAACGTAGTTTAGTTTTATCCATACTTTCTACGTACGTTTGGGACTTCTACCAGTATAATCAACCGATTACGAAGAAGTACGCTTGATGTATATGTAGTCATTTATTAACAGTAAGTGTTTTCGTAAATTCTCTCTACAAGCGTTCGCTTTGGTGATTACGTAACGTATCACATGCAAGAATTAAGAGGATAACTTTTAGAACAATTTGTTATAAATCAATTACCGATTTGATTTTCATGTTTGTTGACTTCAATTTGATCCTCGAGCGCATATTTTAAAATTGAGTATAATAAATCAGTTCCTAGAAAGTAAAATCGCGTTAACTCGGTTCACCGCGTTTTCATTTTACCTGATGGTTTCAAGTCGATAATTTCCGATTCATAATCTGTCAAAAAGTTTTTAACAATTAAAAAAATTCAAATGAAAACTTGAATAACAAGACATTTAAATATGTTTTATACTAAAAGGGCTGTTTTAGACTACGAGTCTATCGTCTTAGTGTCAACCTATTAAAACGCATTGGTCACCATATCTCCAATCTCAAAACATTTTTACAATTTCTGACCAAAATAAATCCATAAACCTGATGTCGCATGGGATAAGTCTACAGTCGCAAAATTCATTTTCAAAGAATTTGGAAGCTTACAGTGGTTTCAAATTCAGTGCCTAAAGTTCGATCCGCAAGCTGTATACAACTTGAGCACAGTATATGTATATAAACTAATAAAGTTTATAACCTTAGTGGAGAGTATTTTTCTAAGTGTTTTGTTTCAGTGGTGAGTGTCAGGACGTTTACTGGGACTGGGCTCCTACCTTTCTGTTCACAAAATTTCTAATATCTTACATTAAACGACCTTCAATGATGCAAATGACCTGATGAATGAAATATAAGTTAATGGCTAATTAAAATCCTGTCGTTTAATGTTCAGTCAGAACCTTGCAAAAAAAGTTGAACAGTCAATCATAGATTTCAAAAGGATTCGTACGGATCTGATATTTCACCAAGAAAACTTGAATCTGTATTCACTACGATCCCTTCCGGGATTTTTATACATGGGACACAACTAACAGATCCTCGGGTAAACAACTATACCTCGGTTATAGGAAGTATCTGTAGATAACATGTTAAGACTTCAACTGTCGGTTTTTGAGCCCTGACTCACCTATTGTGTCGTAAATGATCTGAGGTACGAGGCGTGCTGTCGGAGCTAAAGCGAACTTGTAAAGTCTCCAATGTCTAAACAACGAGTCCACAAGAAACTCAACGCATTTTAAAGAATCAGCGATTGAAAATAACTCAATGCAATGGGGTGGCCTCTGTTGAGATAATCCTCTACAGTGAAACTTAGAGTTACGTCACATTACCTGGATCGAGTAACTCAACATAATGTTGTCCGTTATATCTAGGACATTCTGTATGTCGTCGTATGGAGAACCTAAGATTTCACCTATTATCACCGAACTTCCTACTCGAAAGTTCTTTCAACACTCTATTAATTATCGAAACGAGTGCGCATAATTGCGAAAAACTAAAATTTTCTTTTCTTGCAAGATTTACGGCTTCGTTTGTAAGCTCTAGATAAATCTTCTCTTGACTCAGTAGTCCGGCAACTGCTAAAGCTTGAAGTATCTCTTCGCTTTCAAAAGCATTCAATGAATTTTCCAGTGTCAGACTGTCGCTTGACCTCAACATTTAAATTCACGACTATAATGTTGACATAGTAACGACATTGTTCTGATGCTCTCCTGAAACGATACACAAATATGTCTAGTATCCTTGTCACAAGCCAGTATAAACAAGTTGAGGTTTTCGCCTTTTCCGCTTCCGATTATTTCTGTAAGATCTAAGGCTTTCGGAAGTGACAAAAGTGGCGATCAATTTCATAAGTCATAGTCAGTTCAATTATTAGACGATTCGCAGTCGAATACCAAGAGGTGGCAACCATTTCATGAAGTAAATAATTAGACAAGTTAATTTCATAGTAACCTAAACAATACGGGAAAATCGAAGTGTGCGAATAACAGGTAAATAAACGTGACAATATTCTCGATTGGAATAGGGCGTTGGTACGTGGTACTAATAATGGTAGATAAGTTGTGAGATAAGAATCAGGCACAGATAGTCGAAGTGGGAGATCATAATTCACGGGTTAGGCCTCCTCTAAGAGCTACCAACCGGGGAGCCCGTTGGTTACCTTGTCTAGGATAGCGGAAAAAGTGAAAACGAATTGTGACAAAAAGAGAGTTCCTGTCTGTGATGTAGCGTCTCGATGTATGGTTTTCCGAACACCGTATCGAGGGGCACAGGAGTGGGGTGCTCGTTTTAGGGTCACTTGACATAATTAGTATGTTGTGATCCATTATCACATCACCTCTTACTCTGTAATAATACCACGAGAATAATCACAAATATCGGAGCTCATTTCTGTAAAATTTGTTTCTCACCTCATCATCCACTTCGTTTCTCATTTTGTGATTTTGTTCTAAGATGGTGGTATCTTACCATGATTTACCAATTTATTTTTTTTCTCTTTTATCGTTAACATACCTAGGTTCTTGCTTGGAGGTATTGGTGATCCTCTGCTACTAGACACGGAAGACTGTTAAGCGAAAGCTTCTTCTATTCCGTCCACAACCATTTGAACCATTTGAACAAACAAGCAGCAAGCACCGTTTATCATCTTTTGGAGACTTCATAGTGCCGTCTTCGCTCTGGATTTGTGGCCTTCGACCCTTACTGACTGTAACAGCAGTCATCGACTTTCAAAACTGACTACAAGTGGATTAATAGCCTCGCATGACGAAATCACGATCACTCTTCACGGCTATACTTCTGTACTTACAGTTAGTCTGTTAAATATCGATATAGCTAGAAGTTGTCAACAACACTGTCGGACATTCATCTTTAAATCAATGGCAGTATAAACATCCGTATCGATTGATAATACACTTATCCTACTATCGCTATAGCATCATTACTTTTGCGGCAAAGTTAGTGTTTCTCATCTGAGGAACTCAATCACTTGTCAAAGCTATATACTTCAGCGCGACGTTATGTTCTTTTTTTTATTTCTATGGTCAATCGCCTTACGTTCAACCAACCTTCTGCTGACATATTATTACTCGCTGTTTCTCGATCAGTTTCTGCCGCCTCCTTTCCATTTGTTTTGCAGCTCGGCAATACCCAGAAGATTCATATTAATCGTTTGGCAATGTCCGGCGCGCGATTACTTTCGACATGTTTGGTGCCGATTTAAACGGCCGTTGAATCTGGTGGGGGAGTATTGTAGGGCTAGTGAAATTCCACTGAGCCCTAGCCACATCATCCAGCAGTTGAGTCATTTAATATCGAACAAATCATCGATCCTCGTCAATATCAAGGACAACCAGTGCTCATCAGTTAATCGTACTCCATGGACTGGCCCATGAAGCAGTGGTCTTACCTTCGCTTGTATCTACTTTAACTAATATATTTCTGTAATAACGTCCTCTGTGTTTCACAGTCTTTGAATCATCTTTAGTACCTTGATACGTCAATGGGGTAATCTACGTAAGGTGCAGACCACGAAGTGTGACTTCAACGTTAGCTAGTTTGTCACACCACTCACGTCTAACTCCAGTAAGCCTCCAATTATTTCGACGTAGATCATCCACGCTGGTGACCTGCAATAGTCATATCTGCTTTGATTGTAGAAAATAACAACATTAGAAGCTTCGAGGCAAGGCCATATACACAATAATGATAGTAATAATAATAACATATTTCTGCATGAGCAGGTACACGCTATTTTAACAGGCATGATCTACAAATTACAATATTTGTTAGCTTACATCATGCGCCCCAATTTATTAGGTTTATAACTGTTGGAAAGTGGACTCGTAAAGCGCTTGCTGTTAACTGTACCTTCAAAAATCGTGGAGTCCCTGATATACGATGGTATACATGACTATCTGCTGTCCTTAAATTTCTTCTCACCCCAGTGGCATAGTTTCAGGAAGGGTTACTTCTGTATGACCAACCTGCTGACTGCGGTGGACAGATGGACAAGCATCCTAGATCGCAAGGGAAAGGTGAATATCATTTACCTTGATTTCTCAAAAGCTTTTGATAGGGTTAACCATATATGTCTTATCAATAAGCTCAGACATTTGTGTGTCAGACCACCTCTAATTTATTGGCTCAGTTCGTATCTGAAAAATCGACATTTTAATGTAGGTTCAACTTCAATCTATCGAAGGCTATGGAATGTAATGGTGGGTTCCTC